CTTGTTTTTTTCTGTTTTGTTTTTTCAAGACAGAGTCTCACTATGTAGCTTTGACTGTCCTGGAACTCTCTCTGTAGACCAGGCTGGCCTCAAACTCAGAGATCTGCAGGCCTCTGCCTCCCAAGTGCAGGGATTAAGGATGTGCGCCACCGCTGCTGGCATATTTTTAGCTTCTTGAGGAACCTCCACACTGGTTTCCAGGATGGCTCCACCAGTTTGTATTCCCACCAACAGTGAGTAGACCACTAGTGTTTGTTGATGATAGTCATTTTGACAGGGGTGAGATGGGATCTCAAAGTGGTTCTAATCTGCATTTCTACCATGGTTAAGGATGTTGAGCACTTTTTTTATGGGTGTTTTGCCCACATGTATGTCTGTGCACCACATTCATGCCAGGTGCCCATAGAGGTTAGAAGATGACATTGAATCCCTTGGAACTGGAGTCATAAGTGGTCATGAGCCACCCAACATGGGTGTTGGGAAGCAAATCCAGGTCCTTTGCAAGAACAAGTGCTCTAAATGGCTGAGCCATCTTGCCAGCCCCAGGCTGTCTTTTCTCTCTCTTTAAAAAAAATCAGGTGACTCAGGGTTAGGGTTAATACATGGGCTTATGTCTGGGTCTTCCCTTCCGTGTCTGACTCTGTGTCAGTACGGTGCTGTTTGTCTTATTACCATGTCTCTAGTCCAGGGCATCTTCCTGTGGTACTCTTTGTGCTCAGGCTGGCTTTGGCTCTCCCAGGTCTCTTTGCTTTCAGATGAATTTTCGGATTGTTTCCTTTTTGTCTGTGAAGAGGTGTTGGTACTTTGATGGGGACTGTGTTGAATCTGTAGACTGTCTTTGGTATTTTCCCAGTCTTGATTGAAGAGGTCTGTGAATATGGGAGATCTTTCCATCTTCTAGTATCTTCAGTCTCTCTTGGGTGTTTTAAAGTTGTTTTAAAGACCATTCACTTACTTTGTTAGGTTTATTCCAAAGTATTTTTTCCCCTGAAGCAGTTGTGAATGGGAGCATTTGTCTGATTTCTTCCTTAGATATTTTTTCTTCTTCTTTTTTTTTTTTTGGTTTTTCAAGACAGGGTTTCTCTGTGTAGCTTTGCACCTTTCCTGGAACTCACTTGGTAGCCCAGGCTGGCCTCGAACTCACAGAGATCCGCCTGGCTCTGCCTCCCGAGTGCTGGGATTAAAGGCGTACGCCACCACCGCCTGGCTTGTTATTCTTATATAATACTGGTTCTTAACCTTCCTAATGCTGTGACCCTTTAACACAGTCCTTCATGTTGTGGTCCCTAGCCATAAAATTATTTTTGTTGCTACTTCATAACTATAGTTTTGCTACTGTTATGAATTATAATATAAATATCTGATATTTCCAGTGGTCTTAGGCAATCCCTGTGAAAGAGTCATTTGACCTCTTGTTGAGACCCATGTTGAGAAACACTAGTATATAAAAAGGCTACTAATTTATTATCTTTGTTGTATTATTGGTGTATGTGTGTGTGGTGTATGTAGGCATGCATGTCACAGTGTAGACATGGACAACTTTGTGGAATCAGTTCTCTCCTTCCACCTTTACAAGGTGTATTAGTTACTTTTCTGTTGCTGTGATAAAACGCCATGACCAAGGCAGCTTATTGAAGAGTTTATTTGGGCTTATGGTTCCAGAGGGATAAGAGTCTGTCTGAGGCAGGGTTAGGATTACTGTGACAAAACAACATGATCAAAAGCAAGTCGGGGAAAAAAGTCCTATTTTACTTGAATTTCCACATCACTGTTCATCATCAAAGGAATTCAGGACAGGAACTCAAACTGGCCCAGATCCTGAAGGTAGGAGCTGATGCAGAGGCCATGGAGGAGTGCTGCTTACTGGCTTGCTCAGCCTGTATTTTTTTGTTTGTTTGTTTGTTTGTTTTATTTATTTATTTTTTTTATTTTGCAATACAATTCAGTTCTACATATCAGCCACGGATTCCCTTGTTCTCCCCCCTCCCGTCCCCCTCACCTTCCCCCCAGCCCCCCCCCCCCATTCCCATCTCCTCCAGGGCAAAGCCTTCCCCACAGACTGAGGTCAACCTGGTAGACTCAGTCCAGGTAGGTCCAGTTCCCTCCTCCCAGGCCGAGCCAAGGAATCCTGCATAGGCCCCAGGCTTCAAACAGCCAACTCATGCAATGAGCACAGGACCCGGTCCCACTGCCTGGATGCCTCCCAAACAGATCAAGCCAATCAACTGTCTCACCCATTCGGAGGGCCTGATCCAGTGGGGACCCCTCAGCCATTGGTTGTTTGTTTTTTGAGACAGGGTTTCTTTGTGTAGCTCTGGCTGTCCTGGAACTCCCTCTGTAGATCATCCACCTGCCTCTGCCTCCCAAGTGCTGAGATTAAAAGCAAGTACCACCCACCACTCAGCCTCAACCTGCTTTTTTACAGCACCCAGGACCACTAACTCAGGGGGTGGCACTGCCCACAATGGGCTGGGCCCTCCTCCACAGTCACTAATTAGGAAAGGCAATGCCCTATAGGCTAGCCTACAGCCTGATCTTATGGAGACTTTTTTTTTCAATTGAGGTTCCCTCTTCTCAGATGACTTTAGCTTGTGTCAAGTTGACCTAAAACTAGCCAGGACAGAGCCCATGATGACAGAGGAGTCATGGCAACTGGAGCTGGAAGCTGACCGCTCATATGTTGAACTGCAAACAGGAAGCAGAGAGAACACATTGGCAATGGTGTGAGGCTTTGGAACCTCAAAGCCAGCCCCCAGTGGCATACTTCCTCCAGCAAGGCCACATATCTTCCTTCTAATCCTTCACAAACAGCAGCACCAACTGGGGACCATGTGTCCAAATATCTGAGCCTATGCAGGATATTTCATTCAGATTACCACCCAGCGGTCTTGGGGATGGAACTCAGGCCGTCAAACTTGCATAGTGAGTGCCTTTACCTGCTGAGCCATCTCACTGACCCCAGCTCCTGATTTATTGTTGCTGTTAACTTGGTATCCTACTGCTTTGCTGAAAGCGTCTATCCATCTTAACGTTCTTCTCCTGGGGTGGGTAAGGTCTTTTGCATAGAATCATATCATCTGCAAATAAGAATGAGGTTCATTATCACAACAAAAATTTTTTTCTGAGGCCGACAAAGTAGCTTGGCAGGGGAAGGTACTGTGTGCAAGCCTGATGATCTGAGTTGGACCCCCAGATCCCGCAAGGTCCATGAGGACACCAACTCCCTAAGGTGGTCCTCGCCATGGCATGCACACTCTGCACTCACACAAACATGTACAACAAACAAATAAATGAATAAATACATACATATATTTCTGATCCAAGACCCAGTGAATACCCAGGGGTCTGTGTGTGTGTTTTCTTATCAGCCTTTATGACCCTTTAGTGAGCAGGCTCTGTGAGGACTGTCACTTCACATATATGAAGACTGGGTGAGGCCTGAGAGACACCTAGGCTCCTGCCGAAGTGAGCAGAGAACCAGGGTAGGGTTAGAAATCAAGCTCTGGGGGTCTAGAGCCCACTTCCATGACTCTCAGCTCCACAGTCCCTTCCCAGGCCCTGTTGTTCAGAGGACCCTGGCTGGAGACCTGTCTAAGTCCTCCTGCAGCCCTGGCCTGGCCACAGTGGGTAGGCGGCCCCTGTGACACAGTGCATCCCCGGGAGGAGAGAAAGTTAGCTTATGTCATGGAGCAAGCACTGGCCAGAAGCCAGGAGAAGCCCTGGCAGAGCCTGGCCTCCCAGGACTACGGTTTCCAAAGCTAAGAACACATGAGGGGCAAGTAGTGGTCATGTGACAGGACCCTCAGAACCACCCAGCTCTGCTCCACCGCATTGGTTCTTCTCTGGTGCTCAGCCCCAAGTCTCCACCAGGCAGGCTGTATTTGGACTCTGCCCATTTCCCTGCCCCCGTTGTCCCTGGGGCGGGCTCCTTTAATCCCTTTGCCCCCAAGGATCTTAACAGACTTGCTTGATAATAGTGTATGTTGGGGACTGAGGGGCCCTGGGGACTGACAGACTCTCAGAGAAATGGAGCATGTAGGTGGAGGCTTTGGGATAGTCCCTTTATCTCCCCTGTCCTGTGCCGTGAATGCAACTGGAGTGGCCAGCACAGTACTTTACAGTTTCCATAGCCTCCTGCCTTCTCTGATGACATTAGGTCACAGGGGAGTCTGTCACTATGGGGCCAGAGTAGGTGGGTGGTGGTCTGTTGTGTTGGGTGGGGTTGTTGTAGCATGGTAGGCTGTTCTCTCTGGGCTTGGGGTTCTCTGGGGCCTTTTTTTGTTTGTTTGTTTGTTTGTTTATCGAGACAGGGTTTTTCTGTGTAGCTTTGGTGCCTGTCTTGGATCTCGCTCTGTAGACCAGGCTGGCCTCGAACTCACAGAGATCCGCCTGGCTCTGCCTCCCGAGTGCTGGGATTAAAGGCGTGCACCACCTTCCACCATCTGAGCCGCTTATGTGACTGTGGAGTCCACTGGCTGAGGGGAGTTGTATGGTATGCCTTGAGCGAGTGATAGCAGGAGACACTGTCCCCCAGTGAGTGAGTGAGACAAGGTGAGGGGCTCACTGTGCAAGCATAAGAACCTGAGTTTGGATTCCCAGAACCCACACAAAGCAGATGGAGCTTCGTGAGCCTGTAACCCCAGAACTAGAGAACTAGGAGGATCTCACTGGCCAGCCAGTCTGGCTGCAATGGCCAGCTCCAGGCTCAGTGAGAGACCCTGCCTCACAAACTGAAGAGGAGAAGCAAATGAGAAAAACATCCTGAGGCCAGCAGTGATGGTACACATCTTTTTGTTTGTTTGTTTGTTTGTTTGTTTCCCTGTGTAACCACCCTTGCTATCCTGGAACTCTCTGTCTGTAGACCAGGTGGGCCTTAAACTCACAGAGATCCACTTGTCTCTGCCTCCCAAGTGCTGGGATTAAAGATGTGCTTTAGTCTTTAGGAAACACAGCCGGGTCTGACTGGCCCTCCCCTGACCTCTCTGTCTTGATGCATCCAGGTGGTTGTACTCATGGATCCAGGCGAAGACCCAGAGGACACACTTCGTGCACACCGGTCCCGGGAACGTACCTTTATATTTGACACAGTGTTTGACCAGCATGCATCTCAGGTTCATACCACCCCCTCTGCCTCTCACTCCAGGAGCTCCCTGGACCTGGATCCTGGGCTGGCTCACCTCTGTCTTCCTCGGGGTCTCCCTGAGGAGCAAGGAGGTTGTGGGGCGGAAATCCATTCCAGGGATCAAGCATATGAGATCCTCCTGTGGACACGGGTTGCCAGGTCCTATGGCCCACTCTGGGGGTTCTCTTGAGTTTGTTCACTGGTTCCTTCATAGCCCATGCTCTCAGGACACACAGGCCTTTCCCACACCACCACAGGCAAGGAAAAACTGAGCACATGTGTCCTTCTCATTATAACACGTGGTGGCCAGCAAGGCCCTCGCCGAGGAGGGACATCTAGGCTGAAAGCTATCATAAAGAGAGGCGGGGGTCTGGCAAGGGAAGCCTATAGTGCTCATCTCTCAGACAAGGAGCCTCCAGGAGGTCACACAGTGCTAGATGTTTGGGCCAGGCATTGATCTTTCTCATATATCATGGCACTACCAACCTCTGTAAGACCAGAAGGCGGTACCACATGCAACCTAACCACATCACAGAGGGGAGCCAGGGCTCATCAGGGATAGCAATGAAGGTAAGATTTGAACTTAGGGCTCCTGAAATGGGATGTCATAGTACCAGGGTGGCAGCATCTGGGGGAGATTTCGGACCCAAGTGAAGCAGCACAAGATGGAGTGCCATGTCTTCTTGTCCTACTGTGAGAGGAAAGGTCGGTCGACTGCCCTGTATTCAATACCAGATCTCTCACTTCTTTGTGCTTTAAGATTCTAAAATTTTTCTGTGTGTGTGAGTGTTTGCCTGCATATATACAAATAAACTATGTGCATGCCTGGTACACCTAGAGGCCGGAAGAGAGGGTCAGGGTCCCTGGATCTGGAGTTACAGACAGTTGTGAGCTGCCATGTGGATGCTGAGTACTGAACCCAGGTCCTCTGTAAGAGCAGCCAGTGCTCTTAACCATTTAAAGCTGCTTTCCCAGCCCCTTCTCTTTTCTCCCCATGACAGGGTCCCATCATATAGCCCAGGCTGGCACAAATTCACTTTATAGCCTAGAATTGCCTTAAACTCCCAATCCTTCTGCGTCAGCCTCCTACATGTTAATTACAGACGTGCACTCCCCTGCCCAGCAGTCCTCCTGCTTCTGAGATTGGACAGTCAAGGGGCTGTGGTCATCAGAAGCTCTTTGGAGGTACACGTTGCTGATGGTCTTCCTCTTGGTCCTCACTTGGTACTGGAGTGGCATGTCCTGCAGCAGCCGATAGCTAGGAGACAGTTCACATGCCTGGGGACAGGCTTCTTAGAAGGGCCGTCTCCCAAGTCAGTGGCTTCATTCAGCATGGTGACCTCAGCTTCAGCAGGGCCAATGGGAGCCCCTGGGCTTCCAAAGCCTGGCAAACAGAAGGCACATGTATTTATGCTGGCTGGTCAAACCTCAAGGCCGCCGGTGTTAGTATGACCTCAGTGGACACCAGGATAGGGAACAGATTCAGCACCTCAGTTAAGGAGCCAAGTGTCCGGGGCCATTCTCAGCCAGCCACACCCGTGCCAGGCTGCTTCCCATGTCTGCTGTAGGGGACATAGGAATGGGGACAGCATCTCAGTAAGGACGCATAACAGAAGAAGGGCCTGCTGGGGATACTGGTCACTTTTTTTTTTTTTTAGACAGATCTTACTAAGTATTCTTGGCTGTCCTGGAACTTGCTATGTAGACCCAGCTGGTCTTGAACTCACAGAGATCTGTCTGCCACTGCCTCCTGACTGGTGGGATTAAAGGCCTATGACACCAGGTCTAGCTGGCCACCTTTGACAGTACCACTGTCGCCCTCAGTTCAGGACTAAGCCATCATTGTAAAGCAGAGTGGCTCCCTCTGAGTATAGGTCATGTTCAAGGTCATGATGGCATGCCACAGAGGGACCTGGTCACTGACAGTCATAGCAAGCTACTTCATGCTGAGTGCCACACTCAAGGCCCCAATATCCCTTGCAAGCCTTACAAAATGTTCAGAAATATCTCCTCCTCCTAGCTGGCTGTGGAGACACACACCTGTGACCCCACACACACCTGTGACCCCAGCCATCAGGAGGTGGAGGCAGGAGGATAAGGAGTTCAAGGTCATCCTCAGCTACATAGAAAGTTGTGACTAGCCTGGACTACATGGGACCCTATTTCTCTGTCTGCCTATCTCTCTCTCTCTCTCTCTCTCTCTCTCTCTCTCTCTCTCTCTCTCTCTCTCTCTCTCACACACACACACACACACACACACACACACACACACACACACACACACACACACACGAAGCATTCGTCTGAGGTCACATCACACATAGCAGAGCGCAGACTCAGACCTAACCTAACCTAACACAGAGAGGCAGGTTAGGTCTGGGCGCTTTCAGCCCAGCTTGGGAAAACCATGAGCAGCCAGGGCTGCACCAGAGTGGACACTCGGGAGGTGCGGCAGGAGGGGCTGCTGGTGGTCAACCCAGATCAACCTGGGCTTCACTCACCAGCTCCAGGTGTCTCTCCTTGAACTCCCCCGTGGACAGGGAGCTCACTACCTGCATATCCCCTCCTGGCCATCGCTGCCTTTGTTACACATGGCTCCACTCCCTGCCCAGTTTCATCCCACAAAGAGGGATCCTGATGATGACTGCAGAGTTCTAAGCCCTAACTCCAGTCTCTCATTCTTGGCAGAAGCCTCAGGAGTAACTAATTCCTAGCATGTGTCAGGCCTCCTAGGGGGAAATTCCCAAATTCTTGTTTGTTTGTTTGTTTGTTTTAAGATTTATTTATTTATTATGGATACAGTGTTCTGCCTGCACATATCCCTGCAGGCCAGAAGAGGGCACCAGATCTCATTACAGATGGTTGTAAGCCACCATGTGGTTGCTGGGAATTGAACTCAGGACCTTTGGAAGAACAAGCAGTGCTCTTAACCTCTGAGCCATCTCTCCAGCCCTAATTCTTGTTTGTTTAATTGTGAGATGTACTCTCACTCTGTAGCCCTGGCCGAACCGGAACTCACTGTGTAGACCAGGCTGGCCTGCCTCTGCCTCCTTAATGCTGGGCCCTGTCTTTTCTGTTTTGTTTGTTTGTTTTGCGTTTTTTTTTTCAAGAAAGAATCTCTCTATAGCTCTGGCTGTTCTAGAACTCACTATGTAGACCAGGCTGGCCTCAGACTCACAGAAATCTGCCTGCTTCTGCCTCCCAAGTGCTGGTCCCTGACTTTTCTAAGCAATGGGTCCCCTGACTCAGGCTGGGCTGTCCCCTGACTCTCTGTCCTCCTGTCTGTCCACAGGAAGCTGTTTACCATGCCACCATCCAGCATTTAGTGGAGGGCGTCATCTCTGGATACAATGCGACAGTTTTTGCCTATGGCCCCTCAGGTACTGGGTTTGGCATTGTTTCCAGGAGGGTATGGGCATGGTGCCCCCAGAGGTCCCTACCCCTTTCTAGAGATTAAAGTCTCAGGTAGACCAGGCTGACCTTAAACTCACTATGTAGCCAAGGATGATCTTGAACTCCCAATCTTCCTGCCTCCATCACCCAATTCTGGGATTATAAGTGTGTGTCACCATGCCTGGTTTATGCCATGCCAGAGATGGAATCCAGGGTTATGTGTATTCTAGGTGAGTACTCTACCAACTGAGTCACATCCCCAGCCCCCGCATATACATATATACATACACACACACACACACACACACACACACACACATATATATATGCACACACACATACATACACACATATGCATACATACACACAAACACACATACACACACACACACACACACACACACACACATTTGGTAGTAGCAGGGATTGAACCCAGGGCCTCATGCATCCTAGGCTAGTACTCCAGCACTGAGCCTCATTACAGGCACCAGGGACCTGTGCTCTGGGCTTCCCCGCCCACACCTCTGAGAGGTGAGAATGTTCCTCCCTCACAGAAAGGAGTCAGGAAATGAGATAGCTGTCCCAGAGCACATAGCCATGGGGTGGAACTTTCCCAAAGCTAATGCTACATTCAACCCCAGCCTGTGTTTTTCTGCTCAGGAGGACCATGAATTTCTTCTCTGAGGTGATGAGTAAAGCTCAATCCGTGTTTGTAAACAGGAAGCATAGGCCTGTCATCCCAGTTCCTGGAGAGACTAAGGCAGGAAGCTCACAAGTTCTAGGCCAGCCTGGGCTATATAATGAGACCTTGTTTCAAATAAATTAGAAAAGGAGAGGAGAAAGAAAGGGCCAAGAATATACCAAAAATGCAGTAGTGAGTGCTTGACTGGTCCGAGGGCTACAGAATGAAGCCAGTTCTCTTCTCCCTGGGTGAGGGCTGGAACCCTGTCTGTGTAGGTGGGAACCTGGCTACTTCATTCATTCATCCATCAGTGATGTGCCAGGTTTAAGGGGAAGGCAGTTGGGGAGGGGCCAGTGGTGTCCCCTTCGAGAGAACACCCCCTGAAACCAGGCAGGGTATCAGTCTTCTTACTGCACAGCACATTTGAGCCCCACCCTCCTGCAGGTGCGGGGAAGACCCACACCATGCTGGGCATGGATGCGGAGCCTGGCATCTACCTGCAGACCCTCACTGACCTCTTCCAGGCCATCGAGGAGACCCAGGACAACATGGAATATAGTGTGTCTATGTCTTACCTGGAGGTGAGCCAGCTCTCCTGCCTCAGTTGGATCATCTGCAGAATGGGTACAATACTGACTACCTGTGTAGAATTCATCCTCAGGGTGTGAGCTCTCCAGCAGCTCAGGCTTCCAACCAGTTCTTTTAAAAATATTTTAGGGGGCTGGAGAGATGGCTCAGCAAGTAGGAGCACCGGCTGCTTTTCCAGAGGACTTGGGTTCAGTTCCCAGCACCCACCTGGCAGCTCACAACTGTCTGTGACTCCAGTTTTAAGTGATCCAACATCCTCTTCTGGCCTCTCAGGGCATTGCACACAAGTGTTGCCCAGATATAGATGCTGGCAAAACACCCATACTAATAAAATAATTAAAAAATAATTTAAGCTAGACATAGTGATGCATGCCTTTAATGTCAGCACTGAGGAGGCAGAGACAGGAGGATCTCTGAGTTGGAGGCCTGTCTGATCCACAGAGTGAGTTCCAGGACAGCTAGGACTATAGAGAGAAACCCTGTCTCAAAAAAAAAAAAAACCCAAAAAAAATCTTTTTAAAATTTATTTTATGTGTATGGGTGTGTTTTGCCCTGTATGTATGTCTGTATACCACTTGCTTTCCTGGTAGCCACAGAGTCAAAAAGGGATGTCAGATTCTGTGGAACCGGAGTAACAGATGGTTGAAATCTACTATATGTGCGTTCTGGGACTTGAACCCCAGTCCTCTGCAAGAGCAGCCAGTGCTCTCAAGCCCTGAGCCATTTCTCCAGCCTATCTTTATGATTCTTTGCTGCTTTGTTCCAACCTTTCTGTTCTGCTCCAGATTTATAACGAAGTCATCCGTGACCTCCTGAATCCATCTTCTGGGTTTCTGGAGCTGAGAGAAGATTCTAGAGGCAGCATCCAAATTGCAGGCATCACAGAAGTATCCACCTCAAATGCTCAAGAGGTGAGGGTCACAGCCCAGCCCATAAAGTTCTCCTTGTTCAAGTTTGCTGAGCAGTGACCAGCAGGCTGGTCCAAGCTGAGCTGTTTCCAAACATCTGGACTTGATCTGAGATCTCAGATCTCTGCAATCAACTATGCCTCCTTGCTGGTGCTCCAGGCAGACATCACCTATCGATCCTGTCAGCAAGTTTTCCTGCACTGGCTCCCCTGGTCTCCCTCCCTCACCTACTCCCCTGCTTCCCTTCCTTCTCCTTGTCTTTGTTTCTTTTTTTTAAAGACAAGGTCTTTCTATATAGTTCGGGCTGGGTTGGAACTTGCTATTAGACCAGGTTAGCCCACCTGCCTCTGCCTTCTTTTTTTTTTTTTGGTTTTTCCAGACAGGGTTTCTCTGTGTAGCTTTGCGCCTTTCCTGGAACTCGCTTTGGAGACCAGGCTGGCCTCGAGCTCACAAAGATCCGCCTGCCTCGACCTCCTGAGTCCTGGGATTAAAGGTGTGTGCCACCACCACCTGGCTTAGAGGACAACTTCTTTAAAAAGATTTATTTTTATTTCATGTGTATGAGTTTTTTTCCTGTGTATGTCTGTGCACCACGTGCATGGCCTACAGAGACCAGAAGAGGGCAATGGATCTCCTGGAACTGGAGCTATAGATAGACGTGGGCTGCCATGCAGATGCTGGGAATTGAACTCTGGTCCTCTGGAGAAGCATCCAGTGCTCTTAACTGCTGAGCCATCTCTCCAGTCCTCCATCTTGGGTTTTTTTTTTTTTTTAATTGGTCTAGAACTTACCAAATAGTATACTGGCTGCCCTGGTCATCCTGCTCTTTCCAGCACTGGGATTACAAACACATGCCACTATGTCCAGCTTTTTTTTTTTTTTTTTCATTGATTCTGGGATCAAACCTCAGTTCGTGCAGCAATCCCTTTACTAACAGAGCCGTCTCTTTAGCCCTGGATTTTGTTTTTGAGACAAGATTTCACACTGTAGCCTATAGCCTGGGATTCACTATGTAGCCCAGGCTGGGCTTACACTTACAGCAATCCTCCTGCCTCAGCCTCTCAAATGTTAGGATGACAGATATGAGCTACCATGGTCGGAATGACAGTGAGCATCTCAGCTTCCCCTACTCTTGCTCCATACACTGCAGTCCTAGCTCTGGTCCCTACACAGCAGGGGCTCAGCAGAGGGTGGCTGTTCCAGTTCTGTAGCTGCTTGTGTGGCAGAGGGGTTCACTCCCATTGCCAACCCCAGCAGCTCTGCAGCTGCCTGGAGTTGTACTTGAAAAGGTCAGGGCTGCTCTAGGCTCTGTGGAGAAGGGGTGAGTTGGGCTGGGGATGCAGCTCAGCTGGTGCAGTGCTTGCCTAGCATGCATGAATTCATGGGTTCCATCCCCAGTACTGTATAAACTGGGCATGGAGGCACACATTGCAATCCCAGCATTCAGGAGTTGGAGGCAGGAGGATCAGAAATTCAAGGTCATCCCTGGTTACGTAAGTGAGTTAGGTTAACCTAGATGATGTGTCTTAGTTGGGGTTTCTATTGCTGTGATGAAACACCATGACCAAAAGACAAGTTGGAAAGGTAGGGGTTAATTTGACCTATGGTTCCATATCACTGTTTATCATTGAAGGAAGTCAGAACTGGAACTCTTAACAGGGCAGGAACCTGGAAGCAGGAGCTGATGCAGAGTCTAGGGAAGGGTTCTGCTTGTTGGCTTGCTCAGCCTGCTTTCTTTCTTTCTTTCTTTCTTTTTTTTTTTTTTTTTTTTTTTTTTTTGGGTTTTTTGAGACAGGGTTTCTCTGTGTAGTTTTGGTGCCAGTCCTGGATCTCGCTCTGTAGACCAGGTTTGCCTCAAACTCACAGAGATCCGCCTGGCTCTGCCTCCCAAGGGCTGGGATTAAAGGTGTGCACTACCATTGCCCAGCCCAGCCTGCTTTCTTATAGAATCTAAGACCTCCAGCCTAGGGATGGCACCACCCACAACGGGCTGGGTGGGCCCTTCCCCATCAATCACTAGTAAAGAAAATGGCTTACAGCTGTATCTTTTTTGAGACAGAGTTTCTCTGTGTAGCTTTGCGCCTTTCCTGGAACTCACTTTGTAGACCAGGCTGGCCTTGAACTCACAGAGATCCGCCTGTTTCTACCTCCCGAATGCTGGGATTAAAGGCATGTGCCACCACCGCCCGGCTTATCTCATGGAAGCATTTTCTCAGATATTTTCAGATAGTGCTAGTTTAATGTCAAGTTGACATAAGACCAGCCACCACAGTAAGATTTTTGTGTTAAAAAAAAAAGGAAAAAAAAAAAAGAGATAGGTAAACCATTAGTGATGTCTGTTACTGGTAGAGAAAGGGCAGATTGGGTGCACATCAAGAATCTTCAATTCTACTAGTTGATTTAGCTAACTAATCACATCATGCTACAAACCAGAAATTGCTGCTATAAGAGTCCCAGCCCCAGAGCCACCCTTTCCCTTTTTCTTGGTTCTTTCTAGAGTGAATATGTGGCCACTCAGGTCTGTGACTTGCCTTTTTCTCCCTCTGCCCTCAGATCATGCAGCTACTAACCAAAGGCAACCGGCAGCGTACCCAGGAGCCCACAGCTACCAACAAGACTTCATCCCGCTCCCATGCCGTACTGCAGGTCACTGTGCACCAGAAAAGCCGAAGTGGCGACCTGGCAGAGGAAGTGCGCCTCGGGAGGCTCTTCATGGTGGACCTGGCAGGCGCGGAGCGTGCAGCCCAGGTACTGCCCCTCTGGGGTGCACGCACTTTCAGATGTCATGACTGTCTTTCAACTTGCTGTCTGTCACCCTCTGTCTTAGTGGGCTTTGGTACCCAGAACAGTGTTGGGCCCAGAAGAGGTGGCTGAGTCTTAGGTAATGAATCCTGCAAGCATTTAGTAAGGAAGGAGCCAATGCTTCTAGAGGGTTTCCCCTGTGGCAGGCAGCTCATCCTGCACCTACTGAGGGTGTCCCATTTGCTGCGTGGGCTCATCCTGGGCCTGGGAAGCTCCACATGTTGGGGTGACCCATGTAATCAGATAGCAGTATCCAGGGAGGCCTGTGCTTTCACAGCCTACAGAGCCTGTGGCAGGAATCTTAGGGTTGAGCCCAGACATGTCCTGAGGAGTTGGGTTAGAGTACAAGGAAAAGCATTTGGAGTTGCACACTGTGGGCAGATAGGTAGGTGCGCAGGGACCATGGAAGAAAAGGCTGTGTTGCCACAGCCCCTTTCCAGCTTGTGGGTCCCCTGGTTTTGCTGCTGTGCTTCCTGGATGCTACCCTGTGGCCCAGGCATTCCTTCAGGCCGGGGACCCAGCTCAGGCCTGGGCTAGAAGAGGAGTTGATTTAGGCCTTGGCAGACCCAGTGTTACCAGCAGGCGGCATTTCTCTGCCCCTCCAGTACACATACCAGGCAATGATGCTTGTAATCCCCATAGCCATAGCCTTCCCTGGCCAAATTCAAGCTTGGCACTGTCCCTGCTTTACTATACAGACTTGGAGGCGGCCACAGTGGTGCATGCCTGTCATCCCAGCGCTTGAGAGGCTGAGGGAGGAGGACCATGAGTCTCAGGCTAGCCTGGATGATAGAGCAAGACTCTATCTGAAAACAGAAAGAAGGGGCTGGGGACGTAACTCAGCTGGTGGAGTGTTTGTCTAGCACACATAAAGTCCCAGGTTCTATCTTCAGCACTGGGTAAAACATGTCTGGTCGTGCATGTATATAACCCCAGCACATGGTAGTAAGTGGGTATATAATCCAGAGGTGGACATAGGATAATCAGAAGTTCAAGGCCACCCTCAGCTACATAGTGAGTTCAAGGCCGACAACATTAAATCCAGTCTGTATGTCCATGCACCACTTGTGTACTAGTACCGTAAAGGCCAGAAGAGGGTATCTGATTCTCTGGAACTAGAGTGACAGATGGTTGTGAGTCACCCTGTGGATGCTGGGCTCAGATGTGTTTGCTGGCTTCTGCACACATCTTCACCTCCTCATTTATCTCATGCCATTGAACACTCACGATGGCCAGCTGCCTGCAGGTGTCCAGACGCATGGCCCACAGGGACAGGTGTGACTTACCAGAGCTTGCGTCCTATGGGGCAGCAGATGAAACAACCCTGGTCATGTGTGGAGGCAGGTGACTGCTACAGAGTCTGCTTCAGAGGAAATAAGTGGGGCTGTGTTGGAAAGATCAGGTGCTGAGGCCGTGGACTCTCAGAGAGTCATCAGGGGACCTGTGGGGTGTAGGGTAAGGGTTGGAGGTGGGGTACTTCCTAGGCAAAACCCACTCATTTGCATTTTGTTGTAAGCAGTGTTGTCTAGGCTCAAGTCTGTTGATTTCAGTTATCTTTCCTATGTCAATCAGCTCTATAGCTCCTGAGAATAGATGCTTAATACTCTACTAGTGATGTTCTGTCAAGGGGTCTCCAGGCCTTCGGACTTACGACCCTCAGTACCAGAGCAGGCAGGGCCGTTCCCCATCCCCCTGGACTTGGGTCCCCTCCCTGGGGATGGGGAAGGGAAGACAGCAGTAGGAAGAGACCCAGTCCGTGTTCAGCCTGGCCTCTCTGCTCCTGCTCAGACTCAGAACCGAGGCAAGAGAATGAAGGAGGGTGCACACATCAACCGCTCCCTGCTGGCCCTGGGCAACTGCATCAACGCACTCAGCGAGAAGGGCGGCAGCCGCGCTCAGTACGTGAACTTCCGCGACAGCAAACTCACGCGCCTGCTGAAGGTAGGTGCCCAGCTGGGGCTGGGCAGGGCCACCACCGCGGACAGTACCTTCCAGGAATCCTGCCAGCACAGAGGCTGAGAGCGAGCCCTGGAGACATCACTCTGTACAAGTCTGAGTATGTGGCCACTGCCTGACCTCCCATCACCCTCCTGAGTGTGGTCTATCCTCGCTCACATGCCCCTAGTAACAGGGAGCGCACTACTTCCCAAGGCACCAATCCCATCATGGGTAGCTGTAACCTGTGAAAACTTTTCTTTATACTGAGCTTGATGCTGCCTAGATAAATAAATAAGCAAGCAGCAAATAAATGTCCCCACATCTGCCCTCTTGGTCTAACCTGCTCTCATCAAAGCAGCAGTCAGATGGGGGGGCCTGGAGTAGGCACCACTTATCCCGTGAATCTGCTCCTCAGGCACTAGCCTCACTCTGGTGCCAGCATCAGTTGCCTTTCTTCCAGACCTCTGATGGACCTGGGGGAGGGCTGGGGCCACTGGTGAGGCAGGGATCCCATGGCTCCCATCAACCCAATTCTGTGGTTCTCACTGAGCAGGATGCCCTGGGAGGCAACAGCCGCACAGTGATGATTGCTCACATCAGCCCGGCCAGCACAAGTTTTGAGGAGTCAAGAACCACACTGCTCTATGCCTACAGGGCAAAGAATATCAAGACAAGGGTAAGTGAGTGGGAAGGATGGCCGACTTCAGTACCTAGACCCACATTTTAAAAAAAAAAAGCCAGAGCTGGGCAGTGGTGGTGCACACCTTTAATCCCAGCACTCGGGAGGCAGAGCCAGGAGGATCTCTGTGAGTTCGAGGCCAGCCTGGTCTACAGAACGAGATCCAGGACAGGCTCCAAAACTACACAGAGAAACCCTGTCTCGAAACTGCCCCCCCCCCCCCAAAAAAAGCCAGATGTGGCAACATGCATCTATAATTCTTGTGCTAGAAAGGACACAGACAGATCTCTGTGGCTGGCCTAGCCTCTTTGTCAAGTTCCAGGCTATCGAGAGACCCCCACCTCAAAAGAACAAGGTGAGCTGGGCATCATACTGCAGGCCTTTAAAGTCAACATTCAGGAGGCAAGTGGATCGATCACTGTGAGTTCAAGGCCAGCCTGATCTACATTAGGAAAACTCAGGCCAGCCAGGGATACATGGTGAAACTCAAAATTAATTAAATAATTAAAATTTAAAAACAAGGTAGATGGAGCCTGAGGAAGGACACCTGAAGTTGATTTCTGACCTGTACACACATGAGCACACACATGTACACCCACATGAACATGGATCCCCCCAACACTCACAGACACACAATCAGCGGTTGTAATAGTTACTGGTGGGGAGACTTCTAAAAAAAAAAATCCTGATGGATTATTTGAAATTTTTTATTATGGTAAGATATGCATGGAACAAATATTTTTATTTCAGTTTTTTGAGACAGGGTTTTTTTCTGTAACCCTGGCTGTCCTGGAACTTGTTCTATAGACCAGGTTGCCCTCGAACTCAGAGATCTGACTGCCTCTGCCTCCCAAGTGTTGGGATTAAAGGCGTGCGCCACTGCCGCCAGGCTTCATTTAGTAATTTCTTTATTCCATGTGTATTTGGTGTGCGCATGTATGCTTGTCATGGCAAGCACATGGCTGTCAGAGGACAACTTGTGGGAGTCAGCTCTTCTTCCACCATGTAGGTTCTGGGCCGACAGGCTTGGTGGCCATCACCTTTACCAACCGAATCACCCCTATGGCCACCCAAATTTCAGTTTTAATCACTGTGAGTCCGCGGCATGGTAGCCTTGGTGTAGTCACCCTGTGGTGCTACCAGAACTGTTGTCTCCCTTTAGAACTTACACACCTCACCAAACCTCAGCTCAGTCTCCATTAAATGCGCTCCATTCAAGACTCCCAGCCCCTCCCCAGGCCCTGGCTCTCCCACTCTGCTTTCCCAGAATCTGACTGCTCGGGAGGCTGCATGGAAACCAGTCACACAGAGTCTTCTTCTGTGTCTGGCTGAATGCGCTGAGCCCAGGGTTCTCAACACTCCTCTGTGCTGTAGCCAGCGTCAGGAGACCCTTTCCTCTTCTGAGGATGAACAGCACTGACATGTGTCCAACCTGCCCGGCCATGGGCCACACACATCCCAGCACAAGGCCCAACACATTCATAGACAGCATGATGTAGCCATGACGTTGGGTCCTCCCATCCCTGTGTTCTCATTCCATTCCTGCTGTGGTGGTAAGATACCCAGACAGAAGCAATCCCAAAATGAGAAATGACTCATAACTCCAGTTCACCACTCGGGGAGAATCGAGGCAAAGAGAGGAGCTAATGCTTGCTTGCTTATGCTCTGCTCCGTTTCTCCATTCTCATGTAGTTCAGGACTACCCCCCTCCCCACATACGTAGGGAATGGTGCTGCCCATGTGGGTATCATCAATTCACTTTTAGGACAATCCCCCTCAGACATGCCCATAACCCAGCCCAATGTAGATAATCCCTCTTTGAGACTCTCTTCCCAGGGTGATTGCAAGTTGTGTCCAGCTGACAAAGCCAGTCACCACACCCACCATGTCATCTCTCGAGCCTGCCCTTCAGGACACTTCTCACCATGCCTGACCTTAGGCACTTGTCCTCACCATCAGGTCAAGCGCAATCTGCTGAATGTCTCCTACCGCATCGCACAGTACACCGACGTCATCTCTGACCTGCGCAGGGAAATTGAGCACCTCAAGTCAAAGATTGAGAAGCAGGACAAGGAGAAGAAAAGTGACCCCAACGTCCTGGATATACAAGGTAGTGCCAAGTGCAGGCCTGTGTCTCCAGCGAGCCCTGATGGCTCAGTACCCTCTCGCTGCTAGTGCTCTGTGCCCAACATCCAGGTTCCATGGGCCCATTGCTTCTCCTGGCCCAAGTGCCAGGCCGTGGCCATTCTGATTATTTACACTCACAGTGACCGACTGACCCTGTCCAGGGCTATTGTTCTTGCTTCCCTGGGAGCCTCAGGCTGGTTCTAGTTTCTAGCCTACAAGATATGGGGACTAGACTATTTTATGGGGGTTTTTTGTTGTTGTTTTGTTTTTTGCGTTTTTTTTTTTTTTTTTTTTTTTTTGAGACAGGGTCTCATTGTGTAGCTCTGGCTGTCCTAGAACTTACTCTGTAGACCAGGCTGGCCTTGAACTCACAGTGATCTGCTTGCTTCCATATCCCAAGTGCTGGGATTAAAGGCATGCACCACTATATCTGGCTTGTGTGTGTTTGTTTGTTTTTAATTTCATTTTCTTTCTTTTTTGGGGTGTGTGTGTGTGTGTGTGTGTGTGTGTGTGTGTGTGTGTACACCTGTATACTTCTGCATGTGGAGGTCAAAGGTCAGTGTTAAGTATCTTCCTTGCTCTCTACCTTTTTTTTTTTTTTTAAAGGAGAAAACTATTATAGATTCATAGGTAGGAGCTTGAGATTTAGGCAGGGTGGTTAGCTCATGTGGCTGACATTCAGCTGCCTGGTAAATGAGGGAGGGGACCTTCCAAGAAATAATAAGGAAGCTAGAGCACCAGAAAAGGCATCTCAGGCTGTGACCAGCCTCCGAAAGAAAAGACAGAAGGAGAGAAAGAAGAGCAGTTAGACCTCGCTGAGTCAAGACTCAGAATAGCAGGTGAACCCAGCAGAACCTCAGAGGGCTCATAGGGACTGCCTTCTTTTAATTTTGCTTTTTGTTTTTGAGACAAGGTCTCTCTATGTAGCCTTGGCTGTCCTGGAACTCACTGTGTAGACCAGGCTAGCTTTGAACTCACAGAAATCCTCCTGCCTCTGCCTCCTGAGTGATAGAATTAAAAGAGTGTGCCCTGCCCTCTGCATCTGGCTCTTATTTTTAAATTGACTTTAAACTTTTTATTTATTGTGTGTGTATGGATGTTCTATCTGCATGTATGTCTGTGCCCCACAGGTATGCAGTGCCCAAGGAGGCCAGAAAAGGGTGTAGTTACAGATAGTTGCCAGCCACCACGTGGGTGCTGGGAGTCAAACCTGGGTCCTCTGAAGAATAGCCAGTGCTCTTAAATGCTAAGACATCTCTCGGGCCCCGATACTAATTTTTGAGACAGGGTTTCTCTCTAGACTTGGGACTTAGAAATTAGGCTATGCCGGCTGGCCAGTGTGCCCTAGGGATCCACTTATCTTTGCCTCTCCTGTGATTCAGCACTAGGGTTATAAATGGGTGCTATCACACATGGCTTTGGGGACTGAATTCAGGTTATAGAGAACTTGAGGCCAGCCAGGGAGACAAGACTCTCTCTCTCTCTCTCTCTCTCTCTCTCTCTCTCTCTCTCTCTCTCTCTCTCTCTCTCTCTGTGTGTGTGTGTGTGTGTGTGTGTGTGTGTGTGTGTGTGTGTGTGTTTCTCTCTGTCTCTCAAAAAAAGGAGGAAAGAAAGAAAGATAAAACCTGTAAAACTTGCAAAAACAGATTCTAAGGACGCCTGTGTGGATCTGGGAGGTGACCCAGTCACTGCCTGCTGTGGAAGCATGAGGACCTGTTAGGATTCTCAGCACTCACAGAAAAACCAGGTGCAGCAGGCTGGGTGTGTGGTGCACACCTTTAATCCCAGCACTTGCGAGGCAGAGGCAGGTGGATCTCTGTGAGTTAGAATACAGCCTAGCCTACGAGGTGAGTTCCAGGACAGCCAGGGCTGCTACCCAAAGAAACCCTGTCTCGAAAAACAGAACAAAACAAAAAGCCAGGCAGCACTGGGTGTCTCTAACCCCAGCACTGGGTAAAGGAAGGGTCTGAAGGATTCCTGGAGCTCGATGGCCATCTAGTCCAGCCAGTTGAGGAGCTGCAGGATAAGTGAGAGACACTGTATCAAAGCATAAGGTAGGGAGAGACTCCAAAAGACACCCAACATTGACCTCTAGTCTGGCATGGGCACATGTGACTGCATGCATGTACACACAGACCCGTGTCAACATTTACACAGCATATACACATATAACCCTCCACCCCCAAAAGGACATATGTACCAAAGTCAAGTCCATTAGACATGCACACATACCACACACAAGAGGTTTATAAAGATAAGTTTTGCTGTAATTTCCAGAGGACTTCTAAAATCAATAAAAACAAGCAAGCAGCCCAATGATTAAGAGGGACAAGATTAATAGACAATTCACAGAAGAATTATTTTCATTTTTATTTTAGTGTGTGTGTGTGTGTGTGTGTGTGTAGGTCAGAGGACAGCTTGCAGAAATTGGCTCACTTCTTCTACCATGTGGGTCCTGGGGATTGAACTTGCGTTGTTAGGCTTGGCTGCAACTACCCTTACCCACTGAGCCATCTTGCCAGCCATATAGAGTTCTTAGCAGCAGTAAACATATTGAAAAGTCTCAAATACTTTGGGAAACTGGTGTACACTGAAATAGCTCTCACTTCTTGGGCCAGCTAAAAAGTAAAGTGCTGGGGAATGTGAAATGTGTATCGAGTGGGTAATGTATCAATTAGACAACAATTAAGGTTTTCAAAGACCATGATATATACCCATCTGTCATGCTTCCACCTATCCATCTATGTGCTACCCAGCCAACTACTCATCCACATGCCTTTTCTCTATCCATTCATCCATCAACCCACCCATCTCCCCGTCTATCCATCCACCTACCCATCTCCCCATCTATCCATCCACCCACCCATCTCCCCATCTATCCATCTACCCACCCATCTCCCCATCTATCCATCCACCCACCCATCTCCCCATCTATCCATCCACCCACCCATCTCCCCATCTATCCATCCACCACCCATCTCCCCATCTCTCCATCATCCACCCTTCTCCCCATCTATCTGTCCACCCAAATACAAGTTCATCCACCCACTCATCTCCCCATCTATCCATCCACCCACCCATCTCTCCATATATATATCCACCCTCATATATATCCCTCCATTTATTCATCTATCCACTCACACATCCCTTTATCCACCCACCTATCTCCCCATCCATCCGTCTACCCAAATACACATTCATCTACCTACCCATCCCTCATTCATTCATCCCTCTGCCCTCTTATCTATCCATCCATCTACACTTCCGTGTATCCATTCACCCACATATTTATCCATCTGTCCATCCATCCATCCATCCATCCATCCATCCATCCATCCACACATCCATTTGTCCACACCAAAAGCCATCCATTTATCAATTTATTCACCATCAATTACCTACCCATTCATCCACCCACACATCTACACATCCTCTCACCCACACACCCACCCATCCTCCATCCATCCACACATGTCCATGGGCCATGGCTCATTTTAGTGAGTGAGCATGGAGTTCAGCCCAGCCAGCTCTCTTCCCTCCTGCAGTCACCATCCCCCATGATGCAGAGGAGGACAGTCGTCTACAGATGAACAAGATCCGGGCACAGCTTATTGGGGCTTTCAAGGAGCAGATGGAGATGCGGCGCAGCCTGGTGGAGCTGGAGAATACCAACATTGAGCTGCACATAGACATGTCTCGCCACCTGCTTACCATTGCAGAGTGAGTGCCCTGCTGCTGGGCATAGCAATCTCCTAAGGGAAGGGAAGCCAAGAAACAGAGGGGGCCACTGGTTGCTACCATCCACAGGTCCCCAAGAAAGCAGGCCCTGTCTCTGTTCCTCTCCTATTATGACCCTATTGGTAAGCTGGGCCAAGCGGGAGACACTTCTGGATCTCTTGGTGTAGCTAGAGTTTTCCTGCCTGGCCCACAGTCAGGACAAATCTCTGTCACCCGCCAGTCCCACAGTCTCTCAGACCCAACCAAGTAAACACAGAGACTTATATTGGTTACAAACTGTATGGCTGTGGCAGGCTTCTTGCTAACTGTTCTTATATCTTAAATTAACGCATTTCTATAAATCTATACCTTGTCATGTGGCTTGTGGCTTGCTGGCATCTTCACATGCTGCTTGTCCTGGTGGCGGCTGGCCGTGTCTCCTTCTGCCTTCCTGGTCTTCCTTTTCTCCTCTCTGTTAGTCCCGCCTATACTTCCTGCCTAGCCACTGGCCAATCAGTGTTTTATTTATTGACCAATCAGAGTAATTTGACATACAGACCATCCCACAGCATCTTGGACCTCTTATGACTGGGGTCCAGAGCCGACCCAGAGGGTCAGTAAATATTTTTTTTAAGATTTATTTATTTATTATGTATTCAGCATGTATGACTGCAGGCCAGAGAGGGCACAAGATCTCATTACAGATGGTTGTGAGCTGCCATGTGGTTGCTGGGAATTGACCTCAGGACCTCTGGAAGAGCAGTCAGTGCTCTTAATTAACCTCTGAGCCATCTCTCCAGCCCAGTCAGTAAATATTAACAGTCTCTCTCCCATGGTCCACTTACCCATGTGCCCCTGATCTGAAGGCAGAGTGACCCTGTGCAGAGACTAGCTGGGATGCCCACTATCCACACCAGGCGTCTTGAGGTGACAGGGACTCCAGTAGTCATTACGCTGGGACAGTGAGTGTCCCTCCAGCTGCCCTGGAGAGACCTGGACACATGGCCACCCACTCGGGTGATTTCAGACAGCACTGTCGCACTCAACCCCGTTGCTTCTTTTCACTCTCCACTCTTGCTTCACCCCATAGTTCCCCTCCCCTTCTCCTCCCCTCCCCTCCCTCCCTTCCTCTTCCTTTCTCCTTCCCGTCATCCTCTTTGTTTGGAATAGGGTCTTGCTATAGAACTCAGGCTGGCCTGGAACTTGTGACCTTCCTGCTTCCATCTCCCAGGTGCTGGAGTGACAACTGTAAGTCACCTCCCTTTGTGTGGTCACGGCCATCATCATCCTCACCTTCCTCCTCTCTCCTGAATTACCAAAAACCAAAACCCAATTCAGTCACAGTACTTGCCCCTGGCCAGGCACCTGCTTGCCAAGGCCTCCTCATTTTTCCCTCCTTCTCTGCCCTGTTTCCACAGGTCCTGTTTAGGCTCAATGTGTTACCCTTGCTGGCAGAGCCCAGCCACTCTCCTAGTGTCCCTGGTCACACAGCTGTCCCCTGAGGACAGCAAGGATCAGAGAGGCGTGTTTCCACAAGAGGGAGCTGTGGCTGGCTCTGTGGGTCAGGGGTGGATACATATGTGGATAAGATCATGAGGGAGACCCGATTGCTCTCCATTGTTTTCCCATGCCTGTGAGGAGACCAGCAGGCCTGTAGGGCTCTGGGTGTGAGATGTAGAACCCTCAGCTCAGGCGCGACTGGCCCCTGATACCTTGTCCTGGCTGCAGCTGGGAGCGAGAGAAGACCCACCACCAAGCAAACATGGACAATGGTGAGAAGGAAGAGGAGCCCGCGGATGCTGATGGAGAGGAGACTGAGGCTTCCGAGCCCCCAGAGGTGGCGCTGGCCAGAGAGGAGGTGAACCTGCTCTTGGCTGAACAGCGGAAAACAGCAGCCCTCAAGGTGAGGGAGAGGGATGTTCAGTCATGGGAATGGTGCTGATTATCTGAGCCTGGCAACCCTTGAGAATACCTGCCCATCCCATGACGCACAGCTAGCTATGTGGTTCCAGTCACCCGAGTCTCAGCCTCAGAGACACTGTCGAGGGCTGGGACATAGCTCAGTTAGCAGAGGTTTGCTTAGCAAGCACAAGGCCCAGGGTTCCATCCCCAGCAACAAGTGTGGTGCTAGACACCTGGAATCTAGCACTCAGGGAGTAGAGGCAGGAGGATCAGAAGTTCAAGGTCATCCTTGGTCAGCCTTGATGCATGAGACATTGTCCTTGAAAAAAAAAGGCTAGGCAGTGGTGGTGCATGCCTTTAATCCCAGCACTTGGGAGGCAGAGGCAGGTGAATCTCCAAGTTGGAGGTCAGCCTCGTCTACAAAGCAAGTTCCAGGACAGCCAGCGATACACAGAGAAATCTTGTCTCAAAAAACAAAAACAAAAAATAAAACAAGCAAACAAAAAAAGAGCTTTTTAAAAATGAGCTGTTTATGTAATAGCTAGCTAGTGAGTAAGCTAGGTTTAGGAAAATTACAAATGTCTTGCTTAAGGAAGCTTTAGAGGAAGGCCATTGACCAGAGCTGGGTGGCTCATTAGCTAAATGCTGACAGGTGTGTCCTAGAAAGCAGGCAAAGTGTCCAGTGAGGTCAATTGTTAAAAGCAGGCATCGTCTCCTTCTCTTAAAAGCTATGTGACCTTCATGTGATTACACCTACCCGCTGTAGTGTAGGCTCTGCCCGCACACTTCAAATGAATGATTAGATTCTCCACAGCTTTTAAAAATGAGAAAGATGGATGCCGTGAGCCTCAGGGGCAAATTTAGATATCAACAAGTGATAGAGTCTGCAGTGTGAGTGTCAGTCAGGAGTCTGCAGTGGAGAGTGTCAGTCAGGAGTCTGCAGTGTGAGTGTCAGTCAGGAGTCTGCAGTGTGAGTGTCAGTCAGGAGTCTGCAGTGTGAGTGTCAGTCAGGAGTCTGCAGTGTGAGTGTCAGTCAGGAGTCTGCAGTGGTGAGTGTCAGTCAGGACCCTGCAGTGTGAGTGTCAGTCAGGACCCTGCAGTGTGAGTGTCAGTCAGGACCCTGCAGTGTGAGTGTCAGTCAGGACCCTGCAGTGTGAGTGTCAGTCAGGAGTCTGCAGTGTGAGTGTCAGTCAGGAGTCTGCAGTGTGAGTGTCAGTCAGGAGTCTGCAGTGTGAGTGTCAGTCAGGAGTCTGCAGTGTGAGTGTCTGCAGTGTGAGTGTCAGTCAGGAGTCTGCAGTGGAGACTGTCAGTCAGGAGTCTGCAGTGTGAGTGTCAGTCAGGACCCTGCAGTGTGAGTGTCATTCAGGAGTCTGCAGTGTGAGTGTCAGTCAGGAGTCTGCAGTGTGAGTGTCAGTCAGGAGTCTGCAGTGTGAGTGTCAGTCAGGAGTCTGCAGTGGAGACTGTCAGTCAGGAGTCTGCAGTGGAGACTGTCAGTCAGGAGTCTGCAGTGTGAGTGTCTGCAGTGTGAGTGTCAGTCAAGAGTCTGCAGTGGAGACTGTCAGTCAGGAGTCTGCAGTGTGAGTGTCAGTCAGGACCCTGCAGTGTAAGTGTCAGTCAGGAGTCTGCAGTGGAGAGTGTCAGTCAGGACCCTGCAGTGTGAGTGTCAGTCAGGACCCTGCAGTGTGAGTGTCAGTCAGGAGTCTGCAGTGTGTGTGTCAGTCAGGAGTCTGCAGTGGTGAGTGTCAGTCAGGAGTCTGCAGTGGAGACTGTCAGTCAGGAGTCTGCAGTGTGAGTGTCTGCAGTGTGAGTGTCAGTCAGGAGTCTGCAGTGGAGACTGTCAGTCAGGAGTCTGCAGTGTGAGTGTCAGTCAGGACCCTGCAGTGTAAGTGTCAGTCAGGAGTCTGCAGTGGAGAGTGTCAGTCAGGACCCTGCAGTGTGAGTGTCAGTCAGGACCCTGCAGTGTGAGTGTCAGTCAGGAGTCTGCAGTGGAGACTGTCAGTCAGGAGTCTGCAGTGTGAGTGTCAGTCAGGAGTCTGCAGTGGAGAGTGTCAGTCAGGAGTCTGCAGTGTGAGTGTCAGTCAGGAGTCTGCAGTGGTGAGTGTCAGTCAGGAGTCTGCAGTGTGAGTGTCAGTCAGGAGTCTGCAGTGGTGAGTGTCAGTCAGGAGTCTGCAGTGGAGACTGTCAGTCAGGAGTCTGCAGTGTGAGTGTCAGTCAGGAGTCTGCAGGGGTGAGTCTGTCAATCAATAAAAGAACAAATAAGCAAAAAGCAAGGTTTTAAGTGTCTAGCTTGAGGCCGGGTCCTGGGGCTTTAAGGAAAACTTGGCAGTCCTGTGCCCTGAGCTAAGGTCTGAGGGGAAGAGACACAGGTATGACTTGTCAGCACAGCAATAGTCACTGGGACAGATGCGAGTGGGCAGATGTGGGGCTGGTTTTTTAGCTAAGGAGTTGAGGGGAACTGAGGAGGGCTTCAGGGGAGTCTGGATGGAGTTGAGGAGGACAGAGGGGAGCCTGCTTGGGAAGGGCTTGGGAGGAAGGGAGTGAAATCAATCCCAGATCAGAAGGAAGGTAGCAGAACACATCTTCCACAGCTGTTATCTACCCGTCCCTTGGGGACCAAGACTGTGGGCATGCAAGGCAGCCCCACGTGACTCTCTGGGGGCCATGTGGAGTCAATTGAGTGGTGTGATAGTTTCTTTGCTGAGTCACCTGAGCAGACTCCAGTATGAAGGGATAAATGTTGCTGGGCAGGTGTTTGATAGGAGTGGTCAGCATCTCCATCAAGTGCACACACACACTCGTGGGTACAGACACACACGGAAACAAGCGTATATCCACAGCTGTGGACAGAGAGCTGGGGCCTTGCCTGGTGGGTGTGCAGAACTGGGCTACAGGCTATCGGTGGGTCTCAAGGGCTTCCAGCTCATTTTCTACAGGGTGAGCAGTTCAGCAGGCCTGCAGTAGACAAGCTGGGCCTGAGCTCTCCCTGTGTCCCCTTGCATGCTGATGAAGAGAATCAGCTTGTGATATGGGAAACGCCGGCAGCATGTCACAGCCTGAGGTGGGTGGCATTGTTTCCTGGTACTGAAAAGGCAGTTTGCCAGGAGGAGGGGTCTGCCATTCCACAGCACACATGGCCCCATGCAGAAGTGCTGGAGAGGTTCAGGAGATAAGAGAAGTGGGTAGGAAAGGTGTCCAAGAGCCCCCACTGTGGTTTCTGCAGGAAGGAGCAGATGGGTTGGGTAGATAAGCTGGCATTTCTGGGGAGATATGAAGTGAACAGTTGCCCCCAGACTGGGGCAGCACTAACAGCCCATGACTCACTCAAGGGCTGGGAATGTGGCTCAGTTAGTTGGTAGAGCTCTTGTCTTGTCTGCACAGAGCCCCAGGTTCCATCCCCAGCACTGCAGAAACCGGACTCCTAGTGGTGCACACCTGTAATCCTAGCACACTGGAGGCACAAGAATCAGGAGTTCAAGGTCATCCTCAGCTACGTAGTGAGTTTGAGGCCATCCTGGGCTATGTGACTTTGGCAAAAAAGAAGGGGAAAGGAGAGGAGGAGGAAGAGGAGATAGACTTACCCAAGTTTTGCTTGAGGAATGGAATGAGTTTAGTAGGGTTCTCAGGGGCAGTGTGCTGCTAGAATGGCCGCATTTTCTGCAGTTGCCAGCACCCTGCCTACCAAGCTCCCATAGTTTTCTTTAGAAAATATTTATGTTTTATATGTGTGTGACAGTATATGCACATGAGGGCAGGGGTCTGAGGAGACCAGAAGAGGGCATCGGATACCCTAGAGTTAGCGTTTCAGGTAGTTGTAAGTCACCCGGTATGGGTAATGGGTACAGAACTTACATCCTCTGCAAGAGCAGTATGTGCTCTTAACCGCTGAGCCATCTCGCCATCCCCAAATCTCCTGCATTATATGGCTCTGAGACTACAGAATTCCTACACACTTAGGTCATAGTTCAAGGGCACAGTCCCTAGGGAAGGCATGGCTGCAGGAGCATGAGGCAGCCGCTCACATGGCATCCAGTCAGAAAGCAGAGAGACGGATTCTGGTGCTCAGCTCACTTTCTCCTTCTTATTCAGTCCAGGACCCCAGTCCAGGGAATTGGTGTGTCCTATGTCTAAGGTGGGTTTTCCACCTCGAATACCCTAATCAACATAATCCCTCATTGGCATGGCCAGAGGCTACCTGGTTCACATCATAATTCACATGTGTCTTCTCGGTAGTTCTAGGTCCTGTCAAATGGACCTCATCAGTATTAGCTCTCACGGTGGCTCATCGTTAGGGCTGATGGCCACGTGTCTCATGAGGCTGACTAACTGGCATCAGTGCTTGCCCTGAGCTGTCTGTCTCCCACAGGCTGGACTAGAGCAGCGCCTGGCCCATGCCAAGCAGAAGGCCTCACAGATGGAGAAGCTGCTGCCCAGGCAGGTGACCAGTGAGGACCAGCGGGAGGTGCTGCAGCTGCTGTGCAGGGCCCACCAGCTGGAGGTGGAGAACACAGAGCTGCAGGCCGACAACCTGTGCCGCAAGAACCTGCTGTGCCAGAAGGACTTCGTGATCCAGCGCTATCACCAGCACCGGATGCTGTGCGAGCAGGTCATCCAGGGGCAGCGGCAGCTGATGAAGGGTGAGGCCAGCTCGGTGTGTGAGATCAACTGATACCGCATTCTAGAAAGAGAATCCACAGGACGAGGGCCGGGGAGATGGCTTAGTCAGTACGGTGTTTACTATACAAGTGTGGGGACTTAGTTTGAGCCTCAGAACTCATTAAAAAGCTGAGTGTGGTGGCACATGCTTGTAATCCCATTGATGGCCAGATGGGAAATGGGGACAGGTGGGTCCCTGGAGCTGGCTGGCTGGCTGGCTTAGCCTATTTGGCAAAGTTCCAGGCTAATGGGAGGGAGACCTTGTCCTTAACAAAGGGTTGACGGTGCCTGAAGAATGCCACCTGAGGTTGTCCTCTGACCTCTACGTACACACACACACCCACACACACACACACACACACACACACCCCCCCACACACACACACAAGATGGAAGGGCTTGGAAACATAGCTCATTGGTAGAATGCTTACCTAAAAAGCCTAAAGCCCTGAGTTTGATTCCCAGCACCACAGGTAAACAAACGCTTTGTCTGAAAACATAGGACAGTCCCCAAGAGTGTAGCACAGACACTGTCCTGCCACCATCCTGCTTACTGTGGCTGGCTCCCTGTACCCGATCCATCCCTCTCATGCTCCCCACTTCTCTCTTTTTCCTCCATCTCTTCTTTCTTCTTCCCCAGGGTTACATTGCTTAACTCAGACTGTCTTCAAACTCATAATTCTCCTACCTTAGCTACCCTAGTGTTCAGCCCCAGCTTTTTTGTTTATTTATTTAGAGATAGAGTCTCACGTGTAGCCCTGGCTGGCCTGGGGCTTGCTGTGTAGACCAGATTGGCTTGAAAGTCACAGAGAACTGCCTGATTTTCTCCTGCGTGCCAGGATTACAGGTGTGCACCACCATGCCCAGCCTTGTCTTCATTTTTTTTAAACTATTTGATTTATTTTACGTGATATGTATATATGTGTGTGTTTGTGTGTGTGCACATGTACATATGGGTGCATGTGTGGAGATCAGAGGCCAACATCCAGGTGTCTTCTGGAACCACATACCACCTTGGTCTTTGAGTCAGAGTCTCAGAGTCTCACACTGAACCTGGAGCTCACTGAGTAGGCGAGCTTTGCTGGCCAACAAGCCCCAGGGGTCTTCCTGTCTGTCTGCCCATTGCCGGAGTTAAAGTCACACACCGCCATGTCGTACTCTTATGTGGATACTATGGACCCAACTGAGGTCCTCATGCTTGAGCAGCAAGCACATTCCCACACAACCGTCTTTCCAGCTCTTTCCTTCTCTCTAAGATTGGATCTCATTTTGTAACTCAGGCTGTCCACTAATACATAATCCTCCTGCCGCAGGTCTCTCTCAAGAGCGGGGACTCGGGTCATTTTCCTGGCTCCGTGGTTTTACCTGTTTGGGATATTTCCTGTGACTTCAGTCATACGCTGTATGGTCTTTGATGTCTGATTTCTTTCATTTAGCATAACATTCCTTGGACTCATTCATGTTGTAGCAGACACCATAATGTCATTCTTTTTGTAACTGAGTCATATTCCACCACATGGACAGCCTGTGTCTAGAAGCTCATCTGTGGGTGGTGTCCCCATCTACAGCTATTAGGAACAACACTTTGGAGAACATTCATGTTCAGTTTTTCTTTCTTTCTTTTTCTTTCTTTCTTTCTTTCTTTCTTTCTTTCTTTCTTTCTTTCTTTCTTTCTCTCTCTCTTTCTCTCTCTCTTTCTCTCTTTCTCTTTCTTTCTTTTTTTAATTTATAGAGACAGGGTTTTCCTGTGTAGCCCTGGCTTCCCTAGAACTCACTCTGTAGACCAGGCTGGCCTCGAACTCAGAGATCCACCTACCTCTCCCTCCCGGGTGCCACCACCACCCAGCCATGTTCAATTTTCTGCGTTACACTTCTTTTAGTTCTTTGGGGAATATGTACCAGGAGTTGGCCTTTAACTTTCAGCTAAACTTTTATTTATACTTTGGGACCATTATCAGTCTTTTCTCTCTCTCTTTCCTTCCCTTTTCTGTTTTGGCAATTCTGGAGATGCCAGGCAAGCACGCTACCACTGAGCTACATGTCCAGCCCAATACTGTTATTTTATGATTGAAAGGAACATGTCAGCACAGCAGAAAAAGATTTGTTTGTTTGTTTTCAAGACAGGCTGTCCTTGAATTTACTCTTTAGACCAGGCTGGCCTCGAACTCAGATCCGCCTGCCTCTGCCTCCCAAATGCTGGGGTTAAAGGTGTGCACCACCACTGCCTAGCCAGAAAAATAATTTTAAACTTCAGGTGGGGTATAGCTCAATGGTAGTGTTTGCTTAGCATGTTTGACATACAGGATTTACCAAGTGTAATGGTGTACACTTTTAATCCCAGCACTCAGGAGGCAGAGGCCCATAGATCTTTATAAGTTTAAGGCCACCCTGGTCTATATAGTGGGTTCTGAGCCAGCCAAGGCTGCACAGAGAGACTCAGCCACCCCCTGCCCCACCAAAGACCCCGAACTCCATCTTCATTACCACATACACAAAAATCATCATAAGAAATCCAAATCTAGCTAGGGTTGCCACCTAGTTGGTGGAATGCTTGCCTAGCATTCATGAAGCTCTGGGTCCAATTCCTAGCACTGTATAAACCAAGTATGGTGGCTCACACCTGTAATCCCAGCACTTAGCAGGTACAGGCAGGATGATCAGAGGTTCAAGGTTATCCTCAGCTACATAGTGAGTGCAAGGCCAGCCTGGGCAACATGAAATCCAGTCTCAAAAAAAAATTAAGTTAAAATGGATGGGAATATAAAAGACAGTATACTGGAGAAGAAAACTCCGTCCAGGAAATTCCTTCCCTTCAAACACTCCAGGAAGGGTGTTGCCCTTTTTGGCACATGGTAGTGGTTTTCACCTGGCCTGAGGTGGTGTGCTGTACCACATTCTGATGGCTGCTCTCTTTGCCTCCTCAGACAGTGGCATTTCAGCCCCGGAACCTCTGGAGCAGCAGTACCGACTGTACCTCCGGGAACTGGGCGAGGGCACATTGGACCGCCTGCTGTTGCAGCTCTCGGTGATGTCCAGCTCCATCCAAGTGAGTCTCACTTCCCCCACCTCTGGCTAAGGCCGCGATCAGCAACATCCCATGATTCTTTGCGCTAGGCCAGCCTGTGCTGTGCACCAAAGAACTGGGGAAGGTAACTAAGGAGACATGTACCAGGTGCCCAGGGTCAGTTCCAGGTGGAGCGTAGGGACAGGGACCAGCACCAGCTAGGGAGATGGCTCAGTCAGTGCTTACTGGGCAAAGATAGGGACCTAAGGCCCTGCACACACTAAAAAAAGCCTGTCACCCCAGCGCTGGAGGGACAAAAATAGGTGGCTCCCTGGGGCTCACTGTACAGCCATTCCTGCTGAATTGATGAGCCCCAGGTTCAGTGAGAGACCCTGTCACAAGAGAAAAAAAAAAACAAGGAGGATGATTGAGGAAAACACCCAAAGTCTACCTCTGCCCTCTACATGATGCACTGTTCTCCAACATGTGCACGCACATATGAACATGTATATACACATACAAATTCATAGTGCACACATGTACACAGGGGAGGTCCGCAGGTCTAACTAGCACATCATGTCCAGTGAGCAGTAGAGCAGGGTCTACTAGAGGACTAGGTGGCTCTGGGTGCTGTTCCCTGGGGTCAGGCCGCCAGTGCTCTTTCTCTGATCATGCCTCTCATCCTTGGCTATCCCTGAAGAATCTGAAGTGGGTCAAGCTAGTGGGAGGGACTCTCGGATGCATCCTGCAGAGAACCCAGAGAGATATTTGAATGTTCTGGCCCTCCTCTGGGTTCTTGCAGGCTCCTGTTGGGAGGAGCCGTTTCAAATTCTCTCTCTCTTTCTTTTGGTTTTTTGAGACAGGGTTTCTCTGTGTAGTCCTGGCTGTTCTGGAACTCACTCTGTAGACCAGGCTGGCCTCAAACCCACTGAGATCTGCCTGCCTCTGCCTCCCGAGTGCTGGGATTAAAGGTGAGCGCCACCACCTGACTTGTTAGAGTATTTGGGGAGAATCAATTGAGACAGAATCTAGTACATAACATAGGCTGGCCTAAAACTTGCAATCCTCCGGCCTCAGCCTCCCAAGGGTTAGGATTGCAGGTGTGACCACTATACCTGGCTCTAATGTTTAGCAGTTCTAGGTTCATGGCCTATTAGAGTTCCCCTCGACCCCCACCCCAGTGGGCAACTCGCCCGTTATGAAATCTCTCTCCAGAGAGGGTCCGGTTGTTGCCATCAGTGGGCCTGTATCAGCCCATCATTGTCCCCTCAGGACATAGTTTACATTTCATTTCACTCTTGATTCCTAATTCTGTGGGTTTGCACCAACAGATAAAAATGACCATTGTAGGACCACACCAGGCAGCGTACCTGACCGAAACATCTGATGCTCTGCTGTTTTTCCATCCCTCTCCACTGGTTCAGAACACCAGGGATCATTTGTGGTTCTTGTTGCTTTGGGATGCTGGAGATGGAACCCAAGACCTTGTGAATGCTAGACAAGCACTCTACCCCTGAGCCACACCCTAGCCCCTCACTGGGGATTCTAGGCAGGAGCTCTACCACTGAGCCACACCCCAGCCCCTCACTGGGGATTCTAGGCAGGTGCTCTACCACTGAGCCACACCCCAGCCCCTCACTGGGGGATTCTAGGCAGGTGCTCTTTCACTGAGCCACACCCCAGCCCCTCACTGGGGGATTCTAGGCAGATGCTCTACCACTGAGCCACACCCCAGCCCCTCACTGGGGGATTCTAGGTAGGTGCTCTTCCACTGAGCCACACCCCAGCCCCTTACTGGGAGATTCTAGGTAGGTGCTCTACCACTGAGCCACACCCCAGCCTCTCACTGGGGGATTCTAGGCAGGTGTTCTATCACTGAACCATGCCTTCAGCCCTTCATTGGGGGATTTAGACAGACACTTTGTCATGGATCTAATCCCCCATGGTTTTTGTTGTTTAGATATGTGTGTGTGTGTGTGTGTGTGTGTGTGTGTGTGTGTGTGTGTGTGTGTGTGTCCCTGCCATTAGAGTTATGGGGTATTGTGAGCTGCCAGACATGGGTCCTGGGAACAAGACTTGGTCCTCTGTAAGAGCAGCAAGTGCTTTTAACCCATGAATCATCTCTCCAGGCCACACATCTGAGTTTAGTGCCCATGTCTTTTTCCAGTCTGCAGTCCAACATGGGATCTGTGTTTCCTTGAGCCATTGTGTCTCCTTCATCTTCTCAATCTGGAAGAGTCCTTAGCTTCTCTGCCTCCCATGCCTGACACTTGAGGGTGCTACTGGGCTGCTCTGCAGAATGTCCCTTACTTGGGGCTGGACTGGCATCTCCTCATGATCAGCTTGATGAGCTGGTTGTAAGGATCACACATGGGCAGAGAGGGCACAGCCTGAGGCACAGAGTGTGTCTGATTAGCCTGGACTTCTGGGTTGAGGCAGGTGTTACTTGATTCTCTTTCTCCATAAGTGTGAGTGTGTGAGAGAGAGAGACACTCAGGATGCTGGGGATGCCATTCAGTCTTGTGGGTGACTCTGTCCCTGAGCCCTGCCCCCAGCCCTACTGTTCTTCTGAAAGGACCGTCTCTGGCACATAGAGACCACACAAGCGTTTGGCTTCTGTGAAACTCTTTGCTCAGGACACTGGGCTCTGGTTCTCAGCAGGCAGTGTCTTCTCACAGCACAGGGCATCCCCTCACCCATGCCTGGGCATCTCTAGTGTCAGCCTCTTCAAGCAGATGCTCAGGGTGCAGGAGCAGTCTCTGGTGTTCTCAGCAGCGTGGCTAAGTGGACCAGTGGCAGGAGACCATTTGGCATAGGTCCCACGGTGAGCCTTTACCCTACTCTCCAGTGTCATCACACGTGTGTCTGGAGGTGTCAGGGCCGTATCTCCTGGATTGCTCCAGGCTCGTGGACAAGCCCTGCTAAGCCACCTGCTGCACCTGCAGAGTTCTTGCAACACGAATTTCAATCGTCTTATTAATAAAAACAAACCTGGAGCCAGGTATTGGGGTGAACGCTGAAAGATCAGAGAAACAGAACAGGCCACAGCCAGCCTCGCCTCGCCAGTTCCTCAGTTGATCTTGTTTCCTCAGACTGAAAGCTTCTGAGTCCTCACCCAAATAGATCTCAGCTGACCTGCTGCTAAAAGCCTCAAAGCTTAAAAGAGCTCTAGTTCCTGGTCCTCATGCCGTATATATACCTTTCTGCTTCCTGCCATCCTGGGTTTAAAGGCATGTGTCAACCATGCCTGGCTGTTTCCAGTGTGGCTTTGAACTCACAAAGGTCTGGATGGATCTCTGCCTCCAGAACGCTAGGATTAAAGGCTTGTGTGCCACCATTTTCTGGCCTTTATGTTTATCTAGCAGCTGTTCTGTTCTCTGACCCCAGATAAGTTTATTAAGGTGCACAATATATTGGGGGACACAATATCACCACAAGTTCTTCCTTCTTTGGTGTGTATAATATGTGTGTGTGTACATGCATGTGTGTGTGTATTTATTTCTGCACATGAGCATATGTGTGCAAGTGCATAAGGGGTGTGAATGTCAGAGGACAACCTCATGGACATGATTCCTCAGGTGCTGACTGCTATATTTTTTTGAGATGGTCTCTCAGTGAACCCCAGGCATCCCACCTGTCTCCACCCCGACCCACACCCCCCAGAGCTGGGATTATAATGTGAACCACCCTGCCTGGCACTTTTTTTCTTTCCCTTCCTCTTTTTTCATGTGTACATGTGTGTGATATGCATGCATGTGTGTTTGTGTGTTCCCATGTGAGTGGGCACCACATGTATGTGCAGGTACACAGGCACAGGTGTGTGCATTCGCATGTGAAGGCCACAGGTTGACATTGTGTGTCTTTCCTGAGTGTTCTATACCTTATTTATTGGGACAGCCTCTCACTTGAACCTAGAGCTTGACAACAGAGCTAGTGTAGGTAGCCACTGTGCTCTGGGCATCTGCTGTTTCTGCCTCCTGAGCACTGGGGTTATAGATGGGCGTCCTGTTCACCTGGCCTTTATGCTGGCCATCCTCAGGTCCTCTCATGCTTGCATGGCAAAAGCTTTATCCACTGAGCCATCTCAGTGGACACAAGCTAGAGTCATCAGAGAGGAAGGAGCCTCAGCTGAGGAAATGCCTCGATGAGATCCAGCTGTGAGGCATGTTTTCTGTTCGTGATCAATGGGGGAGGACCCAGGCCATGGTGAGTGGTGCCATCCCACCGTGGTCTCTGAGCAAGCCATGGGAAGCAAACCAGTAAGCAGCTCCCCTCCATGGCCTCTGCATCAGCTCCTGCCTCCAGGTTCCTGCCCTGCTTGAGTTCCTGTCCTGACTTCCTTCAGTGATGAACCGCGATTCTGAAGTGTAAGCCAGATAAACCCTTTCCTCCCCAACTTGCTTTTTGGTCATGGTGTTTCATCGCAGCACTAGAAACTGTAACTACGACAGGGGCGGTCCTGAGGGGTGAACTCAGGACCTTGCATATTCTAGGCATCTGACTATTTGTATTTTATTTACTTTTGTCTGTTTGAGACAAGGTCTCACTATGTATGTAGCCCCGGCTTTGCCCGGAACTCACTGTGTAGACCAGAATTGCCTTGAATTCACAGAGATGCCCCTGGCTCTGCCTTCTGAGTGCTGGGATTAAAGGTGCATGCCACATGACTTCCATGGCATTAAACAAATCCACACCTGTGAAGCCACTGTGAAACCATTTCCATCTTCTAGAACCTTCTCTGCTTCCCAAATCAAAATTCTCCACTTACTAAACACTAGCTCCTCTCCCCTCCCTAGTCCCTGGGACACTGCCACACTGTGGTCTGCAGAGTGACTGTCGAGGATGGAGCTTCCCCTGTTCCCATGGTGGACACAGGTTAAGGAGCCCTGGCTGGTGCCCCAGCTCATGGCTTCCTTTGAGCCCTGATGGAGAAAGTACACCAGCTTTCCCATGGCCTGCCAAAGACCTTCAGCTTAGTAACACTCTCCTGTGCCCTGATGTCCTGACTCTTCTCCTCTGCTTCCAGGATGGTCCCATTATGAACGTATCACCCCCACCACCTGAGGAGACCAGTGGAGAGCCTCCAGGTGACAGGCGGGACCTCCCATGGGGTGCCACATTTGAGCTGCCCCAGATGCTCCTGGAGAGAGACAGGTGGGCACAGAGCCTGGGCAAGAGTGAAGGTACCAGGTCCTGGGTGGAGCTGAGGCTGTGTTTCTCAGGTGCTCTGCTAACACAGCTAAGCTCACCTCAGAGCCCATGCCCCCTCCTCCAGAGGCCTGTCTCATATCCTCCTCCTGTGCTCTTCTTAAATAAACGAGGTGCTGAGGAGATAGCTCAGTGGGGAAAGGGCTTGCTTTGCCTGAGTCCAATCCTTAGAACCTACATAAAATAACCAGGCAGGATGGCACATGTATGGTACCATTTCTGTGTTGAGGAGATGGAGACAGGCAGCCACTTTGGGGTTCACTGGCCCAGCCAGCCTCACCTGCTTGGCGAGTTCCAGGCTCCATTTCAGAAAAGCAAAATGAACAGTGTCTAGAGAATGACAGTTGATAGTGTCCTCTGTCCTTCATGCGCTGGAGAACACACATGCATATATACCTCCTCCTCATGCATCTGCACAGACATATGCACCCATACATACATATACACACACTTAAAGAATAGTAAACTCACTACAGGAGGTACTGGCTACACATAGGACAGTGGTGAGCTGAGGTATTTGAAGAGTCTGAGGCTGGAAATGGCCTTTTTGACTCCTGGGTGTTTCTGTCCTGAATGTGTTCAGTGCCACTTAACCCTGCCCCCAAAGCTTCCCTCCCCTTCCTCCCCTGTTCTCTTGTTCTGCAGCACTTTCCAAGATGAAAAGTCACACAAGTAAGTTAGATGCCCGTAGGCTCCGTCTGTAAGTGGAAAAGCTCACATCTGACCAGTCTATGTGACTGTCTTGTTGCTCAGGCTGCCTTTACAAAACACCATATTCTGGGCAGCTTAAGCAACATGAGTTGTCTCACAGTTATGGAAGCTGGCAAGCTTAGCCTGCCAGAGGTGTGAGGGAGCCTGGTGAGGGCCTCTTCCTGGCTGGAAGATGGCTGCCTTCTTGCTATGTCCTTACATGATGAGGCAGGAAAGACGGAGGGAGACAGAGCACGGAGGTGATTTTAATATCTTTTTTAAAATTTGTTTTTGTTTACTGATTTTTTTTTTCTGAGATAGGGTCTTATGTAGCCTTAAGGCTGACCTTAAGCTCACTCTGTGGCCAAGGATAATCTTGAACTTGTAATCCTCCTGCCTCCACCCCCTCCCCAGTGCTAGGATTATAGGCACACCCAATGTATGCAGATGGAGCCCAGGGCTTTGTGCATACCAGGCAAGCACTGTACCATGTGATCAACTGCCCCAGCCTTTCCCCCTTGCAGTAACCAGGGACTGAATCTAGCTGGGCCCTAGCGTTTCACTGGAGACTCTAGACAAGTGTTCTACCACTGATCCATGATCCTAGCCCCTCACTGGGAGATTCTAGGCAGGTGCTCTTGCCAAGCCAGTTTGAGGGTACACTCCATTATGGTGGAGAAGACATGACTTCCACAGTTAAGAAGCAGAGAGATGAATGGTGATGCTCAGCTCACTTTCTCTCTTTATTTAGTCCAGGACCCCGGCCCATGGAATGGTACCGCTCAGATTTAGGGTGGGTCTTCCTACCTCAATTAACCCAATCTAGATAACCCTTCACAGACATGCCTAGAGATTCATTTGCATGGTGAGTCTATATCCTATTAACTTGACAAACCAAGACTGAACATCATAGCTGTGCATCACTACCTTAGAGGACAGCACATGACCCACTACAAACCTGTGCTTCCCCTGGATACCCAGAGTAGGTGACCAGCATGGATGAGTCAACATGGTCCCAGCCACAGCAACATAGCTGAGGCCAGCATCTTACCCAGCGCATGGACCATAGTGCTCTGGGCTGGAGCAGCAGCTGGGGCTGGATCCTAGCTGCCCAGGCTGTGACAAAGGACACAGGGGCTCCAGAGTGTCTCCTGTTTCATCCACAGTGATGGGAACAGGTCTTCAAAGAGCACTCCATTGTGGAGGCTTGGGAAGCAGGACTCTCTTCTCCCTCCTCCAGCCCTCCGCATCCTGCTGACACCCCCCATGCTTGAGGTTGGTATGCAGGGTGCTAGCTAGAGGGAGGCCCCTTCCCAGTTAGACTGCATGGGGAGGGACTGCCTCTGGGGTCCCATGCTGTGACTACAGAGGGTGGCCTGTGTTTTTCTTTCACAGAAGCCCCATGCTCTAGGAGCAAAGAGCCTGGTCTCCAGACTGCAGCCCCCAGCGGGCTTGGAGCTGAGAACCCCACAGCCAGCAGGAGAGATGAGCAGCCCCCCTCTGAGTGTCCAGGCCCTCAAAGAGATGGCCCTGGGCACCAAGAGCATCGCCCTCCTCGCAGCCAGCCGTCGCTGCAAAGTGTACGACAAAGAGGGCAGCTGCCTGGACTCCAGGGACCCCAGCCCTGCAGACTGGAGGTGGCCCCACGCCAGCCCCAGCAGGGACCGCTCTGTGGAGAGGAAGACAGGGAGGAAAAGGTCACCCTCCTTCACCTGGAGCCTGCAACAAGTACGGAGATGTCTGTCTGGTTGCTGGGTGTGGCTGGGAGGGCAGACGGGCGCTCACACTACCACACATGGTCGGGATCCCTGCACTTGAAGTAGAAGAAGAGAATGTCTACACGACACCTTTATCGCTCACAGTGCCTGAGCCCACTGTGTGACCCCAAAACAGTGTCTGCTTATGTTTTGTGCAGTTATAACCCTAGAAATGCAGCTCTGTGACCTGAGAATTTTCATGTGCCAATTCAGTATTAAATACCTTCCTTCCTTCTTCCTTCTTTCCTTCCCTCCTTCTTCCTTCCCTCCCTTCCCTTTTCTTCCTTCCTTCCTTCCTCCCTTCCTTCCTTCCTTCCTTCCTTCCTTCCTTCCTTCCTTCCTTCCTTCCTTCCTTCCTTCCTTCCTTCTGTGGTACTAGGGATAGAACCCAGAACCTTGCATACATTAGACAAGAACTCTACCACTGAGCCACACCCCAGCCCCTCACTGGGGGATTCTGGGCAGGTGCTCTACCACTGGCCTATGGCCTCAGCCAGTACTTGTATTTTAATTTAAGGAAAGGGTCATTGGTTGGCTCTAGAAGAAGTCTGCTAAGTGGCATGTCAGAGTCAATCCTTGGGTCTACCACTACCGCCCATTTCTGTGCTTCCAGTGTTTGATATTGTTAGTGACCGAGGATCTGGCCAACCTACATCCTGCCTTTGGTGACCAAAGCCCTAACCTCTGCTAGACACAGGGCATTTACTGACTTGAGAGTGATATGAGGACTGAGCATTGTAATGCAGGCTTCTAATCCCAGCATTTAGAAGGCCGTAGCTGGAGGGTTGTGAGTTCAAGGCCAGCTTGGGCATCATGTTGGGATCCTGTGTCAAAACTCTGAAACCAAAAATATAAAGAAATAAAAAAAGCAAGCAAGCAGCAGCTGGTGTGTTCAATATAAAAGAAGGGAAGTAGCAGAAATCTGGGAGAGAGACAGAGAGAGAGAGAGAAAGAGAGAGAGAGAGAGAGGAGAAGAAGAAGAAGAAGAAGAAGAAGAAGAAGAAGAAGAAGAAGAAGAAGAAGAAGAAGAAGAAGAAGAAGAAGAAGAAGAAGCAAGCTTCTGCTCTTAGTCACGAAGGCAGGAAGAACCCAGTGTCCCACTTGGAACACAGGAGGGTTCACTTCTTTGGGAGTGTCTGCTTTCCTGTTCCACTCAGGCCTTTACCGGATTGGATGACGCCCACCCTTGCAAGGGAGGGGCTGTGCTCCATACACTGACCCGTGTGTCACACAGCCTGAAAGCCCTCCGTAAGGGAAAGGGGAGGAATCAGACTCATCTATCCATTTGCTCATTTACTTGGGGCTGGTTCTGCTACTCGGACACACAGTGGGTGTTTAATGAAAATGCCCTCGCATCCTTACACTCTGCCCTTCCTTCCATGTACCTTTTCCACACTGCAGACAACGGAGAAACATCAGCCCTCTACGGAACATCCATCTGAGAGCCAACTGTCCCCAGCACACCTCCAGCCACCAAAGCCATCAGGGAAGAGCTTTTTCCCTGCTGTCCCTGTGGCCTCCAAGATGAAACCCAGCCTCAGTTTTCACACAGGTATGGGTGTAGTTGGGTTTTTTGTTTTTTCAAACTCTGTGGGAGTCCACCACCTAGCTCCCAAATAAATGCACGGAGACTGATTCTTTTTTTTTTTTTTTTTTTTGGTTTTTCGAGACAGGGTTTCTCTGTGTAGCTTTGCGCCTTTCCTGGAACTCACTTGGTAGTCCAGGCTGGCCTCAAACTCACAGAGATCCGCCTGGCTCTGCCTCCCGAGTGCTGGGATTAAAGGCGTGCGCCACCACCGCCCGGCTGACTGATTCTTACTTATGAATACTGAGCCTTAGCTTGACTTGTTTCTAGCCAGCTTTTCTGACTTAACTTGTCCCATTTCTCTTTAACTGTGTTTTGTCTCTGGGCTTTTTACCTTTCTTTATTCTATGTATCTTTCTTTCCTTCATACTCCAGGACTGGCCCCTGGCATCATCCTCTTCTTCTCCTTTTCTTGTTCTTCGTTCTTCTTTTTTCAAGCCTAGATTTCTGCTCCTATTTATTCTCTCTGCCTGGCAGCCCCACCTATCCTTTCTCCTGCCTTGCTATTGGCTGTTCAGCTCTTTATTAGACCAATCAGGTGTATTAGACAGGCAAGGTAACCTAGCTTCACAGAGTTAAACAAATGCAACATAAAAGAATGCAACACATCTTTGTATCATTAGACTAATATTCCACAACATATGGGGTCAAAGAAAGAAAGAAAATGTTTTCTGTATCTCCAGTCATACAAGCCAAAGACAGAGAACAGTGTGGCTGTCACCTGCTGTCTGTGCTTTTTGGCTTTTGTTTTTCTTAGTTTGATGAATTGATTGTTGGGTGGATGTGTCAGTGACCTGGAAAGTTAGGTCCATCCTTTCAGATCTGGACGCGGAGTTTACTTCTGTCTAGATATAAGCCAGTTGGGATGGATTTGAACTGGTGAGTGTTTGCCTAGCATGTGTGGAGCCCATTGCCAGCACCATGGATGGTGTGTGGTGCACACCTACAATCCCAGAACTTGGGAGGTGGAGGCAGGAGACTTCGAAACTCAAGGTCATCCTTGGCTACATAGTGAAGGATGTAGGCTGGGCTATATGAGACCCTGATTCAAATAAAACAGAGAAACTTTTTTTAAAATTTGTTTTGATAAAGGTTTTTTCTGTGTAGCCCAGACTGGCTTAAGATTACCATCCTCCTGCCTCAGCTTCCCGAGGACTGGGAGTGCAGGCATCACTGTTCTGTTTATAGACATGGATTTCTGTGATCACAGAGATAATTAGTCCATAATGTGCCACACAAGCTTGAGCAACCACGGAAAAGCTCAGTGCTGCAGTGCATATCTGCAGCCTCTGTCCTAGGGGCAGACACAAAGCAGCCCAAGCAATGAGCTCCAGGTTCAGTGAGAGACCCTGTCTGAAAAAACAAAGTGGAAGGATGTGCATGGTGGTGCACACCTGTAATCCCAGGCGGAGACCGGCAGATCCCTGTGAGTTCAGAGCCCAGCCTGGCCTACGCAGTGAGCTTCAGGCCAGGAAGGCCTACACAGTGAGGCCCAGTCTCAAAAACAAACAGCAAGCAAAGGGTGAGGAGTGATGGTGCAAGACGCCAACATTGACCTCTGACCTCCTCACCCATGCAAAAACCCACATGCACACACATGACAGAACACATCAGCGCCGTGTGGTCCTTCTAGAGTTATACTCTAAGCCTGTGACCCAACCCTCAGGAATCTTACACAGAAGGATCGTGAGTAGCAGTATGTAGCCAGCCTGGGCTACATACTGAGACCCTGTCTCCACAGCAAGCGGTGGCTGGTGAGGTGATGCATGCCTGTACCGCCAACTCCTGGAAGACTGAGGCAGAGGGATTGAGTTTGAAGCCAACCCAGACCATCTAGAAAAATACTTTGCCCAAATCTCTCTCTTCTTCTTCTTTCCCTCCTCTTCCTCACTCCCTGCTGCTCTTCCTCCCCCTCCCTGTTCCCCACATCCCCCCACTCACCCCCCACTCTCCCCCAGCCTCCTGTGGAGCTGAGGCCCCAAGGAAGCAGACTCATCTCCTTCCCCCTCCGCAGTCGGATCTCTAGGCCTGGTAGGTCATCTCTGCAGCCAACACTTCCCATTGCTTGCATCTCCTTCAGATGAAAACACGCTCCATGTGCCGGAGGTCAGCTTCACCTTCCCCAGCGCCGTGTGGCAGAGCAACGCAGCCCCAAGCCGGCCTCCCCTCCTGCCACGTGACATCCGAGGTCAGTGGCTGTACCTCCAAACCTGTACCCCCCTGTCCTTACCCCACTGGCATCTTGGACACTCGTGTCCCATCTGTGGGAGAACTGGTAGAGGGGTAGCAGCTTCCCATACTATAGCCTTCCACTCTCCAGGCCTCTGCTGCTTGTGAACTATTTGGAGGACAGCAATGCTGTCAGACAGGGTTGGGGAATGACCTGGGCAGCGAGTGGACAGCCTGGACTTGAAGTGGAGGCCTCTGTCTCCCTTGCCCAGCTTGTTCTGATGACTCAGAGGAGACAGTGGGAACCAGGTGGCTTTCCAAGCTGACCTTGTCCCAGCAAAAGTTTCCTGGCATTCCTGATGGAGCTCTTCACTCCCCTCCCATACATTTCCCCTAACTTTGAATGAGATGTCCGGTCCAGAGTGAATGGCTGGAAGCTGAGGGTCAAGGGTCAAGTGGGCAAGAGAGGGCCAGATGCAGGGGGGTGGGACTGGCGGGCTTCAAGGTTGTGCGGGCACAACCTTGTAGCTGGGAATGAGATGCTAATAGAACACTCCTGTTCAGTGGAGTCAATGGGTAGAAATGAACTGGGCCAGGGTCAGGATAAGGAGAATGGGGGAGGGTGTGTCTCAGGGCTCTATCCTGGGGAGGTGGCACCAGGGGACTCAAGCCAGGGATTAGGTGTCTGGTGGGTAGATGGGCACCCAGGTGAGTCCATTCCCTACCCACTGCATGTAGATCCTCCAAGTTCTTTTTTAAGAATATTCTCGTTTGGGCTCGGGGTATAGTTAACTCTATGCGTGTTTGCCTTGCAAGTGTGAGGACCAGAGGTAGATCCCTGAAATCCATACAACAAAAGCCCAATTGGGGCATGTGTTTATAATCTGTGGAGGCAGAGATGGGGAGATCCCTGAGGTTCACTAGCCAGCCAGCCAGCCTAGGGCCCAAGGAATGACGTCCAGGAGAGTACTCTGCCCTCTATACAAATGTTTATTGTCCTGTAGACACACTGCACACACATCACACACACAAATATTATTATTTCATTGTATAACTTCAGCCCTAATTTATGATCTAGGGCAACACCTTCCCCAACCAAGTATATAGTCACGACGTAGTCCAGGCTGGCCTGAAGTCACAATCCTCCTCCCTCATTTCCTGAGGGTTAGGATGACAGTGCCAGGCCATTTTGTGCCCAGCTCACCCTAGTTTACTCCTCCAAAGCTAAGGCTGTTGTGGTTTGCTTAACTGAGAAAGATCCCAGCTGAGGCCTTCCAGGACAGGAGGCACCCGTTCTGCAGGAGAGTGGCCAGTCTAGGTGTCAGTCCTGAGGGTCACAGCCTCGTCCCTCTTCCTCCCCATGTGACTTCTAATTTTTTTTCTTTTTCTTTTTTGTTTTTTTTGTTTTTTTTGTTTTTTGAGACAGGGTTTCTCTGTGTAGCCCTGGCTGTCCTAGAACTCACTCTGTAGACCAGGCCATCCTCTAACTCACAGAGATCTGCCTGCCTCTGCCTCCCAAGTGCTGAGATTAAAGGCATGCACCACCACCACCTGGCCCTAATTTTTTTTTAACTTGAACCAAGAATGACTCTAACTCACCCCGTGCTTTACTGGACCCCAGCTGTGAGGTTGGCCACTTTAGTGTCCATGTTCATGTCATCTTCATCTCAAATGGAGAAGCCAGAGCTACCCCATCCCCTCCTGGGCTGGCAAGCATCCTCTGGCATCCTTAGTACCATCTCATCATCCCCTGAACCACCTGACAACCAAGCCTTGGATGAAGTCAAACATTCCTGGGATATCGGACTGCCAGGATTGTGTGGGATAGGGAGCAAGTGGGAGGTCCTACCAGCTGTCTGACCTCATTTCCTGCTGCTGCATCCTACCCTCCCCCATGCTGCTGTTTGGAAGAAGAAAAGATTAAAGGGCTCTGGAGGAAGAGGTCTTCCAGGTGCTGACTGGTTAGCCAAGCATGCTGAGTGATGGAACCGGTATTATTGTATCTTTGAGTGTGAGGGATAGGAAAGGGTCCACATGGCACCTCATCCTTGTTGCTTTGACCAGAGCTGCTGGGCACGTTATCAAACAGAAGGCCCTGAGTGACCTGGGAGCAGGGAGGCCAAATCAGCCTGAAGGTTGAGGAGGAAAAGACTTGGAGGTCACACATGATAGATACCTGGAAGAGGACTCTGGTATTGATGAAGTCAGCTGCTGTCGTGTGTGTGTGTGTGTGTGTGTGTGTGTGTGTTTTCCAGGCCCTGTGAGTACTGAGCTGCGTGTGGCCACAGATGGGGCTAAAGTCTCAATGTCTAGTGAGTGTTGACTTCTCTTCCATTGATCTGGCTACCAACTAAAGTTTCCCATCACCCCAGGGTCTACAGACAGCAGAGGCCGGCGTCACAGCCCACTGCCACCCAACAATCCTCCCAAGCTCCAGGGTGGCAGTGCCAAGAGACCAAGGCGTCCTAAGTAGATGGCAGCAGGAGCTGGTGACCTGGAAGGCCGAGCGTCCTGGGGACCCCAACACTGGACAGAGATGGAGAGTGGGACAGGACACAGGGGTCACCTCTCATGGCAAAGGACCTGTCTGAGACCTCTGTTTTGTCTTTGGGTCTTTCTTGGATCATTACAGTTGCTGAGGATGCCCCCTGGGATATCCCTGGATTCCGATGACTGACAGCCCATGGCTCACACTCAGGCTGTAGGGGTCCCTGGGGGAGGGCTGAGCACCCTCAGATGGGATGGAAGAATATGTCCCCATCACCACCACTGAGCAGTCCGCAGGTGGTTCTGGGGATGCCAGCACCAGAGAAGACAGGATGGCTTTTTTCCTGCTACCTGGTTCTGCCTCCAAGCTCCCAAAAGCTTCCCAAGCTCTCAGCCATGCTGACAGGGGAGCTGATGATGGTGGGGAGGCAAGAGGGAACAGCCAGGGCTAGTGAGATCTGTATGCTTTGCTTTACTGGGGACCTGCATGGGGAGCATCTAAGAGGCTTAGGAGTTTGGGTCTATTGATACGTTTTATTTGAGACAGAGTCTCATGTAGCTCAGGCTGGCCTTGAACTTGCAATGCAGCTGAGGATGACCCTGAACTCTTGATTGTCCTGCCTTCCTCTCTCAACTTTTCAGATTATAAGCACAGGCCATCATACCTGGTTTATGTGGTGCTGGGGATGGAACCCAGGATCCTATGTGTGCTAGGCAAGTACACACCCTACAGACATTCCCAAGGCTTTCTGTCTTTAAAAAAAAAAAAAAAAAAAAAAACCTGGCGGGAAAAAGAGGACACAAAATTGAGTTCCACGTTGATAAGACATTGTCTTGTCTGTTTTTTGTGTTTGATTTTTGAGATGTGGGCAGGGCGGAGGGTAGAGGGCTAGGGGTGGGGTGATCAGGCTGAACAGGCCAGGAGAACAGGGTAGTCAATAGATTTCTTCTGTGGTTCCTGCCTCTGCCTCTGCTCCTGCCAGAGTTCCTGCCCCATCTTCCCTCAATGATGGCTGACAGCTGTAAGCTGAAATAAACCCTCTCCTCCCCAAGCTGCAATTGGCATGGTGTTTATCACAGCAACAGACAGCAGACTAGGACGCTGCCCTTTATGACCTAGACAGAGGGACAGGGGCTAGGTGGACTGTGACTTCACCTCCTTAGGTTGGAAGGTGGAGGCACGTGGCAGCCCCTTGACTAGGAAGTAGGTTTTAAATGGGTGTGTATGTACCTGGCCCAGAAATGTTGAGCAAATGCCACAGCTGGATGCTGGGGGTCATCCCTCCCTCCTGCTGTGACACCTGCTGCCAGGGAAGATGGCTCGGGGCTTCCTTGAAGCCATCACCCATTTGGATTTTCCAAGCTGCTTGGGGAGGGGACTTCTATATTTGGGGGCTTTGCTGGGACCTCTGTGAGCCCTGTTGATACCCACCTCAACTGTGGTGAGGCGATTGAGGGTGTACCAGCTGGTATCTCAGGCCCCTCAGGATCAGGTGCAGTGGGCCCCAAGCCCCACACTATGAACCTTGAGATGGGGTGTAAGGTGACTTGTAAGACTTTATAGTCACAAGCAAACATTTTTGTTGTTGTTTGTTTTTTTAAGACAGTGTTTTCTGGGTAGCCCTGGCTGTCCTGGAACTCACTCTGTAGACCAGGCTGGCCTCGAACCCAGAGATCCACTTGCACAAACGTTTTAATTGTGAAGCTGTTTCACAATGTTTATTAGGAAGTATGTCACTAGCCCACTGGAGGCTTGAGCTTGTCAGTCATGCCTGAACTCAAAATGAAGGTGGTGGAAAGATGACTGAGTGGGTAAAGGGCTTGCCATTGCAATTGTGAGGACCTGAGTTCAGAGCCTCAGAGCCCATGGAACAGCTGGTAACATGAATAATGTACGTCTGTGATCTCAGTGTTCCATTTGTGGGAGGGTGGGCTACAAGGGGGAGACAGAATTTCTGGAAATTTGTAAGCCACCTGGGAGGCCTATACAGAATGAACGGGAAAGCCCCGCCTCACACAGAGTGAAAGGCAAGGACTGACCCCGGAGGTTGTCCTCTGACCTCCACACATGCCGTGGCACACAAGAAGTTAAAAAGAAAAAGCTGGGCAGTGGTGGTGCACGCCTTTAATCCCAGCACTTGGGAAGCAGAGGCAGGTGGATCTTGGTGAGTTTGAGGCCAGCCTGGTCTATAAATAGCAGGTTCTGGGACAGTCAAAGCTACACAGAGAAACCCTGTACCAATAGATAGATAGATAGATAGATAGATAGATAGATAGATAGATAGATAGATAGATAGATAGATAAGCAGATAGATAAATGAATAAACAAACAAACAAACAAACAAATAAATAAATAAATGGTGTGGGGATGTTGGTTCAGTTGGTAGAGTGCTTACATGAGGCTCTGGGTCCATCTCTAAGCATCTCCAAATAATAATGATGATAGTAATAATAGTAGTTAATCATAAAGGAAGAAGATGAAATGGAGGAAGGGAGGAAGCGGCCTGTAGAGTCTCCTGGATAGAAGAGATATGACATTTGTTTGGCCGATGGGCTATTTCTTGAAAAGTGAGCTCTTAATTTGGGGGTGTGTGCAAGGAGATGAATCCATGGGTGAAGAGGCATACTGGTGGCCTGAGCATTAGGTGGCAGATGGCTAAGGACCTCTCTGGCTCATTCCTGAGGACAAGCAACTGCACTAGGAAGCTGGAGGCTCACCCTAGACTGGCCTGTGCTGCCTAGGCTCTTGCACAGACGCGTGTCTGAGTCCATCAGCTTCTAGAACAACAAACAACCACCATGAGTTCTTTGGTTCCGGAGGCTGCAGAGTACAGGTGAGGGCCGAGATGCAGATGGGCTCTGGCGAGGCCTGTGTCTGGTTTGCAGACTGTTGAGGACTTTTGTGGTGGAAGGAGTTTGTGAGAGTTTGGTTTAGGAGGGCACTAATACCCCATTCACAAGGGCTCCACCCTCCTGACCTCATCACCTCCCAGAGCAGTGAATAAGGGCTCCTCTCTCCCCAGTCTTCTCTAGCATTTGTTGCTAGTTCTTTTATTATTATTATTTAATATTTAATTTTTATTTTATGAGCATTGTGGCTTGAGTTGACTCAGTGGTTAAGAGCACTGGCTATTCTTCTAGAGAGCCTGGGAGCAATTCCTAGCATACATGTGGTGGCTAACAACCATCTGTAACTCCAGTCCTAGGGGGTCCAGTACCATCTTCCGGCCTCTAAGGGCATTGCATGCACATGGTGCACAGACATACATTTGGGCCAAACATACACATATAAAGTTAAAAATATAATAATGAAAGTTCCAAAAATAATTCATGAATGTTTTGCCTGTGTACCATGTGAGTGTCTAGTGCCCACAGAGTCCAGGCAAAGGTTTCAGATCCCCTGGAACTGGGGTTAAGGATGGGTGTAAGCTGCCATGTGGATTCTGGGAAGCAAGCTTGGGTCTCCACAAGAGCAGCCAGTGCTCTTAACGACTGAGCCATCTTTCTAGATCCATGTTATCAGCTTCCTCCTCCTCCTCCTCCTCCTCCTCCTCCTCTTCTTTTTGAGATAGGGTTTCTCTGTGTAGTCCTGGCTGTCCTGGAACTTGCTCTGTAGACCAGGCTGGCCTCAAACTCACAGAAATCTGCCTGCTTCTGACTCCTGAGTGCTGGGATTAAAGGTGTGTGCCACCTGCCTGACCTCAGTTCAGATTTCTTTTTCTTTCTTTCTTTCTTTTCTTTTTTTTTTTTTTTTTTTGGTTTTTCGAAACAGGGTTTCTCTGTGTAGTTCTGGTGCCTGTCCTGGATCTTGCTTTGTAGACCAGGCTGGCCTTGAACTTTACAAGATCTTCCTGCCTCTCTCTGCCTCCCAAGTGCTGGGATTAAAGGCGTGTGCCACAGCCACCTGGCCAGCTCAGATATCTTACTGAGAGCCATCCTGGCTAGGGTAAGGTGGTATCTCAGAATAATGTTAATGCTGAACCCTTTTTAAAATGGTTATTAATCATTTATGTCTTTCTTTTGAACACTACCTGTTCATTAGCCCGTTTCTTAAGAGGCAGTTGTATTTTCTTTAAGTATTACTATCTGCAGGTTTTTGTAACATCTGGATGTCAGTCCCCTGTCTGAGGTGAGGTTTCAGATCTCCCATTCTGTGGGTATCTGTGTGCTCTGCTGTTTCTTTAGCCATGAAGAAACTTGCATTTCACATGGTCCCATCCATTGGCGGTTCCTTTTCTTATCCTCTGTATCCTCATAGCAACCCAGGGCCCAGGGTGTGTGAGAACCTCCCAGTGGCCCCTTCACTACTAATAGATATTTTCTGGTTCATTCTTACAGATCCACAGTTATTTATGCTTTTCCTCTGTTGCAACCCTGGTTATGAAACCAGTTGGGCACATGTCCTCTGTCTAAGACACACTTGGGTCCCCAGGGAGCTCACAGCAGAAGGATAGCCTGGGAGGCCCACCTACATAAAGGAGCTTGGATTCTAGGAAAATAACATGACATGGGACTGGGGACATGACTTGGTGGTAGGGCACCTGCCTAGAATACCCCAATGAGGGGCTGGGGTGTGGCTCAGTGACAGAGCACCTGCCTAGAATGCCCCAGTGAGGAGCTGGGGTGTGGCTCAGTGGTCGAACACCTGCCTAGAATCCCCCAGTGAGGGGCTGGGGTGTGGCTCAGTGGTAGAGCACCTGCCTAGAATCCCCCAGTGAGGGGCTGGGGTGTGGCTCAGTGGTAGAGCACCTGCCTAGAATCCCCCAGTGAGGGGCTGGGGTGTGGCTCAGTGGTCGAACACCTGCCTAGAATCCCCCAGTGAGGGGCTGGGGTGTGGCTCAGTGGTAGAGCACCTGCCTAGTATCCCCCAGTGAGGGGCTGGGGTGTGGCTCAGTGGTAGAGCACCTGCCTAGAATCCCCCAGTGAGGGGCTGGGGTGTGGCTCAGTGGTAGAGCACCTGCCTAGAATCCCCCAGTGAGGGGCTGGGGTGTGGCTCAGTGGTAGAGCACCTGCCTAGTATCCCCCAGTGAGGGGCTGGGGTGTGGCTCAGTGGTAGAGCACCTGCCTAGAATCCCCCAGTGAGGGGCTGGGGTGTGGCTCAGTGGTAGAGCACCTGCCTAGAATCCCCCAGTGAGGGGCTGGGGTGCGGCTCAGTGGTAGAGCACTTACTAGCTATGTCTTAGCCCAGAATGCATTCATCTGCAACACTGAAACAAACAAAACAACTTCTGCCCTACCCCCCACCCCCCAAAAAAACCCATGAAAGAGTGTATCATGGAACCTCCGGCCACAGCCAGCCCCCATTGACCTCTACTACTAGGTGAGTTCCCTACCCAGAAGCCATTGGACACTTGTGTAGCTCATGCTCTGGAGCCCAGAGTCTGGATTGGGGTCCAATTCTGTCACTTTCAGGACTGTGTGCCTTCAGCTGGTTGGTCAAATTCTTTGAACTTCTCTTTACCTGTAAATGGCTGGATACCATGTAGCCATTTCACAGAGTCAGAATGTTTCTGAAGCATGTTGCTCTACAGGAAGTGGGTTTGGAAATAGAGGAGAAATGAAAAGAATATAAATTTACCATTTCAGGAGCCACTGAGATGGCTTAGGGTTAAAGGCACTTGCTGCCAAGCCTGAGGACCTCAGCTTGATGCCAGAACCTACGCGGTGGAGAAACCAATCCAACACATTGTCCTCTGACTTCAGTATGCACACACACACACACACACACACACACACACACACACACACAC